GATGCATATGTTAGGACCCCCCACCGAATACCTGTGACGTGAAGAGCTCATGGGCAGGTAACTGGAAATAGGAATGGCGGACTGGCCCAACCGTTTTGTTCCAGGTGTGGAAGCTGCTCTGTCTTCAAAGCAGAAATTGAGTCCCCTCAACACCCAGCATCCCCTGCAGGCCCTCTGTCTGCCAGCCACACATCCCACGTGTTTCCAACTCTGATTGCAGCTGTTGGCATCAGATAAACCAAATGCCCCAATGCCTGACTCAACTTCTCCCTTGTCACCTGGAGTGCCAACACTCTGTGAACACAGAGTTGCCAAACTTGCCATCAGTTCCCAGGCATCCCATTGTGAAACTGGCAAGATCTGTTTGTTTTCCCTTTCCTGGCCATTCCTGTATTCTGCTACCTATAAAGACTTACTTTTGTTTGTGCAGCATAAGAGCTTCATCTTTTGTGGGACATTCTTTCCTTATCTGGCCCTGTCCTGCGAGCTTCTGGGTGGTTGCTCATCTCCTGTTCCAGGCTCACTCTATTTCCCATAGTTTCATTCTCTCTTTATCCTTCCTTGCCAATTCCATTTTCCTATTTTGAAATTGGCTCTTCTCTCTACTCTACTTTTTTTCCCCTGTTTTTTACTCACCCTTGAGAACCCCCTCTTTGCTCCCATCTTTATCTCCTGCTCACCCCTGGCTTGCTGTAGCTCCAATTCCCCTCCTCGGATGCTCTCTAGACTAGCTGGCATGCTACCGGCTACCTCAAACTTCCTCTTCCCCTTCCTGGAGAGACAACCTCCCCTAAAGTCTTGGGTTTTTATCAGGCTCCCCAAATCTCTGTGTTATTAGAAGTCGGCCAACCTATTGCTAGAGGCCTAAAACTGGCCTTGTCTTTTATTTTAAATAGCACAGGATCCATACATAAAACTTACTCAATGATATTTCCACCACTTCTATTAGATTGCTTTTTACATTTATCTTGAAAGAGTTCATATAGGCTTTGGGTTGGGTACTAATGAGCCATTTACTGCATGGGGACAAATTTAAATTCCCATGCACACCCTGATCACAGCAAAATTCTCTGTTGTCTTTATGGGGCTTGAAGTTGGCCCCAGAGGGTACATGGGGATATGCAAGGAAGGGAGTGAAGCCCAAAAGATGTCTGATCACATCGGCAAGTGTAAGTGAGCCCAGGTGTAGGAGAATAAGAGCAGGAGCTTTATCTGTCCCCAAGATCACCGAAGATTACCAGAAAGGAAGATAGGAGGGTGACTCACCCCTCGTCTTCGTAACTGCTCAGTGGCCACTCCTTTTTCTTACTTACCAGCAGCTAGTCCTCTAGGGACGGTGGCACCACACCTACTTCTGCGGCCTCATGACTCAAAGTCTTAAGATTTACAGCATTTTCTTATGAGACAAAGGCCATGCCTATGGGTAAGTCCTTTTAAACACCCGTAGGTTAGTCATTTCATGTGGATGATCCATTCAAGTAAACTGATTGCCACGTTTCCTCTTCTTTCTGTTTCTATGTAAACATCTTTCTATTTCCTTCACCGAATTAGAAAAGTTTTCTTTCACTATTTTTTCAAATAGAGTTCCAATTTTTTGCTCCTTCTCATCTCCTTCTGGCAACCCTATGATGCAAATGTTGGAACACTTGAAGTTGTCCCAGAGGCTGCTTATACTAACCTCATTTTTTTTGGATTCTTTTTTCTTCTTGTTCTGATTGGTTGTTTTTTTGTTCTTTATGTTTCATATCATTGATTTGAAACATAAATCAATGTTTCCTAGCTGCATCCACTCTACTGTTATTTCCCTGTAAATTGTTCTTTATTTCAGTTAGTGTATCCTTTGTTTCTGACTGTATCTTTTTTATGCTGCTCAGGTCCTCACTAAGTTCCTCGAGCATTCTGATACAAGTGTTTTGAACTCTGCATCTGATAGATGGCTTATCTCCATTTCCTTTAAGTCTTTTTCTGGAGTTTTGATCTGTTCTTTCATTTGGGCCATGTTTATTTGTCCCCTCATTTTAGCAGCCCGCCTGTGTTTGTTTCTATGTATTAGGTAGAACTGCTTTGACTCCATGTCTTGGTAGTGCGGCCTAATGTAGTAGGTGTCCTGTAGGGTCCAGTGGCACAGTCTACCATTTCACCCAAGCTGGTACTCAAGGCACACCTTTTCTGTGGGCTGAGTACATCCTCTTCTTGCAGTTGAGCCTTGGTTGCTGTTGGCAGATCAATGGGAGGGATTTACCCAGGTCAGTCAGCTGCAAGGACTGGTTGTGACCACTTACCACCTATTTCATGGGCATGAAATAGGCACCACTCTTTGCCCTCTGTGGAGGATCAGCTGTGCAGGGGCAGGGTGGTGGTGCTCTGATATGGTCTGTAGCTGTCCACTGAGTACACTGTCTCTGGAGTTTCCCAGGTGGTGCAGGCCAAGCTCAGCCCCCACTTTTGTTTTGACCAGAGCCACCCTGCCTGAGCTATAAAGCAATCTGAGATGGGTGCTACGTGTACTGAGTTTTTCCCAGGCAAAGCCAAGCAGCGAATCTAGGCTGGCTGCTCCTAGTGCTGGGCCTGGGGCTCTCTGAGGCCAGCTGTGGCTTGTTTGGTAGGATTTGGAAAGTTGTGCAGCAGGAGCCAAGACCAGCCGTTCACATAGAAAAGCAGCTTGGGTGGGCCTGCTGGGTGGGTGAGGCAGAGCCTCTGGGGATGTCCAAGGCAGGTCAAACAGTGTTAGCCAGGTTGATGGAGTCTCAGGTATGGTACCAGCCTACCTGCTCTGTGGGCAGAGGGCTCAGCAAAGGAACAATGACCTCTTTTTGCCCGGATTGTAGACACTTCAGTTCCTCCCTGTATATCACTGGTAACTTTCAAGCTGCTACTGTGGTGATCAAGCTCAGAGGGAGTGAGTTTGAGTAGGTGAGTCTGTGTGTAGGATCTTTAAAAGGAACTGCTTGGGGATCCAGAGGTTTCATCCACCAACTCAATCCCTGCTGCTTTTGCAGCCAGAAGTTGTGGGGACTTATCTTCCAGGCACTGGCACCCTGGGCTGGAGGGCCTGGTGTGGGTCTGGGACTCCTTGCTCCCAAGATATTCCTCCTGGATTTTTATCCACCACGTGTGGGTGTGGAACCAGCCCTTTCTGCATCTGCACCCTCCTACCAGTCTGGATGGATGTGGTTTCTTTAACTCCATAGTTGTCAGACTTCCATTCAATTTGATTTCTGATGGTTCTGAGTGCTGGTTGTTCTATATTTTAGTTGTAATTTTGATGTGGTTCTAAAATTTTTTTCTCTGTATTTTACAAACATAGTAGCCCATTTATTGAATTCTTTACTCTTAATTTTTAAAATCACTTTTAAGGGGCATTAAGTAGTTAACTAGAAAGAAAAATATTGAAAATGATAAGATGAAACAGCCACAGGATTTGTCTCCAGTTCCCACACTACATGAATTTATTCATTTAGCAAATACTGAATGCCTACCAGGTACCACTTGGATCCATCAGAGAATAACACAGCAAAGAACTTTGTGGTCAGAGAGGGGAGTAGAAGAAAAGTAGGGGGAACCAACAATAAACAGTGACATAAGAAATAAGTCATGTTAACACCATGCTGGAAATTGATAAATGCTGGAGCTCAACAGCATGAGGGACTGGGAAGGTTGGACCTGCAATTTTAAACAGGGTGGTAACATAGTACACTCATGGAGAAGGTGACATTTGAGCCAAGACTCGAAGGAGATGAGAAAATACGAGGTCTGTCCAGAAAGTGTCCAGCCACGTAATATTGAAAAGGGGCCATTTCTCGAGGAAGATATAAGATACAAGAAACATCGTACATGGGACAGTGATGCCTCAGTTCCCTTCAATGCAGGCACCTTGTGTCCTCACATGATTCTCCCCATCACCATCAGCTGCCCTGTCATATTTTCCTGAATCTCATAGATGGTCTGAAATTTCTTTCCTTTCAAAGGCCGTTTTAGTTTGGGGAAAAGCCGGAGGTCACAGGCCGCCAAATATGGGCGGTAGGGAAACCCCCAGCCCGGAAGAGTCAGAGACCCCACATGCACCAGAGATGCAGAGAGGGAAAGGGAGTGAGGTGTGCAAGACATTCTGAGTTTAGGGAGGAGCTTTCCCCTCTGTTTTCTTCTAAGTAGTTTATGTTTTCAGTCTTGCATTAAAGTCTTTAATTCACTTCAAGTTAATTGTCTGAACTTAAAAAAAATCCATCTTGGACATTCTTAATCATTTCACTCAGCTATTCTCCATTAAATGTTTTCAAGTACTAAATGCAATCTCTCTTGCAATAATCGATGTTTGATGTGACAGCCTTTTCTAGAGGGGCAGCTGTGTCCTACCCCTGTTTTTACCAAAAGTACTTTTGTATTTAATTGTTCCCTCCTGCATCAGGGCTCTCCCCAATCTTTGGGAAAACGGATTTTCTAGGAAGTGATTCATTATTTCATTCCTTCGTTCACGAAGCAAATATTTTCTGAGAACCTACTACATACCACACCGGGTGGATGCTGAGGATGCAGTGAGGAGCGAATCGCAAGACAATGGAGCTCAGTCTGCGAGGTGCGTGTCCGCATCACAGTTGCAGGAGCCAAGAACGCGGGGGCGACTCACTGGGCATCTCAAAACCAGGGTCCCTTCCCGCAAGTCACCGTGCAGTTCTTGGGAAGCCTCTGATGCTGAGAGAGGGGCTAAGTTCAGTAAACGCAGACGGGATGAGAGTGCCTGCAATTCAGGCAGAAAATAAGTAAACACCGGCCAAGCGAGCAAAACTCCCTGAAGAAGCACGAGCTCCAGGCTTCGCGGGCTCGCCCTCCCTGCGTCTCAGGTGAAGAGTGAACGCGGCACCCGCGGCTGAGGAAGCGGCCGCGCTTCGGGGTCCCACCCGCGTCCGGAGGGTCCCTCTGCTCGCGACGGCCCGGGGCCCGCGCCGCCTGTTCCGCGGGAGAGGCCGGGCGGGCGGGGCGGCCACGCCCGGCGGAGGCGGGGCGGGCGGACCGGTGTATTTGAGACGCTGCCCCGCAGCCCGGTCCGGGACAGAACGACCTCAGCGGCCACACCCGGAGCGAGCGAGCGAGCGCCCAGGCGTGTGGTGAGTGTGGCGGGCGCCCGGGACCGGACCCCGGCCGGGCGGGGGCGAGGACGCCCGCGCGGCCCACTTTGCAGAGCTCGGGCGGGTGCCTGGCGAGGGGCTCGGCTTCCCGGGGCGCCGGGCTGCGGGCGGCGGGCCCGGACCACCGGGGAGCCCCGAGGGGAGCGGTGGGCACCCTCCGGGCAAGGGTCCGTGGTCTGCGACCCCTGGAGAGGTCGGACTCGGGGGCAGTTAGCGGCGCCCCACTCAACTCACGTCCGCGCCTCCTCGGGGCGGACGGGTGTGTCCGCGGACGCCGGGCGTGGGCACAGGACGCGGGAGGCTGAGCCGCGCGCCCCGCCCTGCGGCCGCAGGGCCACCTCGGAACCAGCCGGGTTTCCCTGCGAGAGGGTGGCGGAGGGGCGCGCCCAGCTCGGTCTCAGGAGCCGGGTCCCCGACCCCGGCAGGCCGGGCGTGCTGCCCGGGGACTCGCACCGCGGCCCCTGGGACCCGGGACTCGGCTGCCCCGCGGCTCGATCTTGCTGTGGGGTGCGAATGAGTTCGTCTGTCAACCGCAGCAGCAGGAGTGCAGCTCCTCTCTGGATGCTGATTCCACAGAAAACGGTCGGGTCCCAGGGCCTGAGTGGTCATGTGCCCGGCTTGGCAAAGACCGAGAACTCTAAGCTTTTGCAAATCATAGACTCATCCCTGATCAGATTGGCAATGTGAGCGTTAACGAGGTCAGATCTGTGCTGAGGATGGAGGGTGGCGGCCGAGGGCGGCAAAATGCGGGTCCGGGTGTGAGTCGGGGTGTGCGCGTGTCACAAACACGTGTGAGGATTATTCTGAGTTCTCAGCTATGCAGATGAAAACACTGAAATGCATGCACTTTTAGGATTAGGCGCTCAGTACCAGGGAATCGGGGACATATAGGCTGAGGCTGTTACTTGGGTTTCAGGCCAACCCCCGAAGTCAGCCATTCCCGTTCCAGATACTGTGGAATATCTGTAAGGTGACTCCTGCGGGTTGGGTTGCTGGACCACGAGGACCGTTGGACCTCAGGGACCCAGCCCGTTCCCAGTGTTCTGGGAAAGAAATGGAAAGCAGGCTCAGTTAATTCTGAAAAAAAAAAAAAAAAAAAATGATAGCAATAAAAGTTGACCACTTGGGCACAGAGCATAAGAAAAAATTCTCACCAAATTCCAAAATTCTGACTCATTTGCCTCAAGTTTATATTTAACTTTCATACGAGAAAATTCTGTTTCCATAAAAGTTAAAATTATGCAATAAAAATGTATTTTTCCACAATGGTCTCCTTTTCAGACATTGACTTTGAATCCCTTGAGCAGAGTTTCTCGGTCCTTCGATGGTTGTGCTTTGCCCTTGACCTTTGGGAGGCTGGGGCTGCTTTCTGAATCCATGATGTTGGTGGAGGGGTCACACCTAGAAGCAGCACTCACTCCATATTCTGGGGAGACAGACATTCGATGATGGTCCCTGAATGACTGTGAGATCCACTGTGAGATCCAAAATATAGCCTCTCTTTCTTGTGATGGTTTGGGACACAGACTCCCACTGAGGACAGCAAGGTAACAAACAACCTGTCAGGTGCCTGAACTGGTTCTTCTCATTAAATTCTGAGTGGTAAGCCTGCCAGGATCGAGCTTGCTGTAGCCTTACAGTTTGCTGTGAAGTATCATGTGTTCTGTCTTGACTGATGTTCAGGTTTTCCATAGGGGAAAAAAAATCAGTAACCAAGAGGCACAAAGTAACTTTACCTTCCCTGATGTAGAGGATCTATGATGAGAAAAATCCTACTAAAGGACCAGTTTCCCTCATTCCAACTCATTCTCACTGATTTGGCTTTGGAAGCAGGCTTTCCCCAAGCCCCTGCTCTGCGTCTGAGCAAGAGCAGGAAGTAGACCGCCTCCCCTGCGGGTGTTCTTTAAAGAGGAGTGTGGGCAGGGCCTGGGGGTTCTCAGGAAATCCTTCACCATCTACTTCCCTTATGGCTTGTGTAAAGGTCTGGGCCTTTTGTGTGCAGAAATTTCAGAGGTGCTCCTGAGAGCCCCAGCTACTGGATTAATTGCTAGGTGATCCTAGAATAACATAGTAGTGTGGATATGGCTTTTTATTAAAGGGTAGAGCTACAATTAACAGATGATTAAAATGCTCAACCTTCAGACTCCTGTTTAAATTCCTTATTCCAAAGCAAACTGAACTACTTCTTGTAGGTTTTTCCAAATGGGAAGAGTCAGGTAGTGTTGCCCGTATCTTTTTGTTTGTCTTCAACGTAATTTTTCTTTTCCAATTCTGGAATGCCAGAATGGAGTTCACATAGGTATAGATTTTGTAGCATGGGAAGGTTTTTTCACATCTGATTGTCTCTATGTAAACTATCATCTTTAAAAAATAAATAAATAAAACATATTTTCCAGGCAAGTAAGGAAGGTATTTATCTAAATAGATTTTTTGTTGTTATCTTTGTTTTGTGTGGGTGTTTTTCTTTTTTTTAATTCTAAAGTTGCTAACCTTGATTTCAAAAGAGCATTGGTTATACCCCTTTTCAAAAAAGAGAGCTGATGGTTAGGAGCTGAGAAAATATAAAAAGAGCACATATTTGGAAAGTACACATTATTGGTTTAAATGTGTTTATAATTAGCAAGTGACTGTGCAAAATGGCATTCTTGTGTTCAATATCACTGTTCACTGAGTCACCCAGCTAGTTTTCCAACAAAAACATGATCTCTTTTTAAATTTGTTTACAACTTCAGCATGTTTTGTAGATCTGAATGAAAAAAGCTAGATCATTTCTAAATGAAGTAACTACTACTTTCAAAGGATTATCCTTTAACATTTCAAAATATGAGGTTCTGTATTTGTGTAAAATTAGCCTGAGTTTGGAATCAGGTTGCTCAGACCCTGGTCCTTGGCCTGCTAATGACAGAATGACTTAGGGCCACCACGTTACCCTCGGAGCCTCAGTTTCCTCACCTCTAAAGTGGGAAGATGAACTTTTCCCTGTCGGCCTCATAAGATTCTTATCAGAATCAAAATAGGTAAAGTATGTGAAAGTGCTTTGTAAACTGCAAAGCACCACACCAATGCAGGGTGTAATTATTCTGATGCGCTTGTCTAATGCGTCACAACACCGCCCAGACTGTCATCTGAGGCATTATGCAAAGCACCGTGGAGGTAAAGTGAAATCTGCTGTTACTCAAACCGTTTTGGTTGTGTTGGAAAATAAACTGAAAATGCTTGAGCAGAGACTGTGGAAAAAATGAATGTTAAATTTTGGAAATACCGTCTTTATGTGAGTTTCTGGTTGTAATCAGCCTTTAAACCCATCCGGGTTTGGAGTTATGATAATAAACACTTCATGAGGCCAATGGCACAGATTTACTAGCTTTAACCATTGAAACTACCTTGTTTTTTATGTGTAAGTACATGTATGTAAAGATACACATGCTACTTAGCCTAGACCAGTGGTTCTCAACCAGGCAGATTTTGCCTTTTCCCCAGTTCCCCTAGTGATATTTGGCAACGTCTGGAGACATTTTTTGTTGTCACAATTGATGAGGGGCAGGGGTGCCGCCGGCTGTGCATTGAAGCCAGGGATGCTGCTCAACATCCTACAATGCACAGGGGAGCCCCCCCCCAAAAAAAAGTGTCTGACCTGAACTGTCAAGTGTACACAATGAGAATATTTAAAAGAAGTGAAAACACATATACATTCACTTTGGGCCTGTGGTGTGTTGTCCAGGAGAGGAAGAGGAGTTTATGTAGTCAAAGGACCTGAGCTCTCTGCCCACCGTGTAGTTCAAGATTGTTTTCTACTAGTATCCAAAATGAGAGGCTTTATTTTCTTGACTTAAGAAGTGTCCTTTCTTCTCCTTTTCTGTAACAACTCTTCTCTCAAGCTCCCCCTGCAGGAGCAGCACAGTCTTTTAGGCAGTGTCAGCCTTTTGGAGAAGGAAGCACAGGCAGAAAAGCTCCCAACTTTGGCTTTAACATGTGAACTACTACAGGAAATTCAATGACTGTAAACCCTGGGAGAGACACTGTGACTTTCCAGTCAAATTGCCCTTGGTGTCCCACCTCGGAAGATGGCCACGGTGACCACCTGTTTCCAAATATGTTTGGGAATGCCCAGATTAAAGGAGGTGTGCAAAAAAAACCCCAAAAAACACACACAAAAACATATATCTGTGTGTGTGAATGAGGTGCACAAGAAGTTCTGTCTGAGTTTTTACCAAAAAATCTAGTATTTGGCATAGTTAGGACCTATCGAGTAGTCACCATTGGTTGGATCTCTTGGGGGCAATATCATTTATTAAAATAATTGAGTAAATATCACAAGTGGGCCACTCAAGGAAAATGAGATTCTGAGAATATAAAGTCCAGGTAATTCTGGCTGTAGCACAGGTAATCCCGACCCGAGAAAACTCACCCCGGCCTCAGCTGCAGTAGCCGTCCCCCCTCCCCCCTCCCCCTCCCCCCTCCCCCCTCCCCTCCGGGCTGGGGTGGCTGCCCGGGAGGAGCCATCACACATCCCCAGCGGCCAGCAGGTGGAGCCCGAGAGAGCTGGAATGCAGTCTCCGGGCCATCCCTTGGGGCAGCTTTTGGCTAGGCAGTCCCTCTTTGCTCTACCCCAAAATATTTTCCTCCACATTGCCTAACTTTTTTTTTTCCTAACTTTGATTCATTATACTGCCAAAGATTTCATTTGGAATAACAAGTATCTTTTTAAAAAGCAAGCACTTTGTGCTTGCCTTTCTTCCTTGTTGCTCCACATCCAGCCCACCTCTTTCCAGGTTTAGTAGCTCAAACCACGCCTCCCCTCTTAAAAGTGGTTGCTGTGGTTGTGACTTCCCGTAGCACACAGTCTGACTCACAGCTGGGCCGTGGATCCTTTGACCATCCAGATCTTGGCCTATCCATCTTCATCCCAGACAGGACCCCGCACTGTGCCTCTGCAGGGCAGGCGGAAGTGTGTGCCCGAGAAGGAATAAATAATCGGCAACAACTATGTCTGAGGGGCATTGTCCTTCAGATCTCAATAGGAATCAATAAACTCTGCTTTCCCACTAAAACCCAGAGAAGGCCATGGGGTGTCAGTGAAAATGGGGTGGGAGAAAGAGTGTGGTCTGTGTCAATATGCAGAACCCTTCGTAAGAGGTGGTGGGGAAAGACCACAGGAAGGGAGGTGAAGGAAGACCAAAGGTAGACCAGGACTGTACGTTTGTTACCCAGGAAAGGGACAGGACACTGTCTTCTTCAGTCTTCTCTCTCCTGCATTGTATGGCCTGTTATTCCCAGGATTCCCAGGACTGGGAACACAGGCTAGTGTATTAGAGTTTCAAGTTATGGGTTCAGTAGGGTTTGATAATCCTGGAGTGCATCTCCCCGCTTTCATGAGGTGTTTTTGTGGTTCCACACTATTGATTTGAACATATTTTGGAAATAGATTGATTTGAACATATTTTGGAAATAGATTGGCTTGTACTAGAAGAATGCCTATAAACTGACTAGAACTACACAATGAACTATTTTTGACCTTACATTTAAATGGGAACTCATGAAATCTTCAGATTAAATCATAACCTATCATCTTTTTTTTTTCTCCTCTCAGGAAAATGGCAGACAGTTTTTCGGTAAGTGTTTTATGTCTGTTTTCTTACATTCTAAGTTCACGTAGGTGGGGAGTTTTGTTTTTAACACCAGACTTTCTCTTCTAACTCTCAGACCACGTGCGCTCTGGCCTCACCTGTCCAATGAGGGCTTGTGGGCTGGAGTCTTGTTTTTCCAGCAACAGATTTGGAAAGAAAGTCAGGCAGAGAAAGGCCTGGGACTCACTAAAAATGACTCCTTTAGCAAAAGGCCGGGGACAGTAGCAGGTGGCTTCTGTGGGCCAGGAGCTGAGAAATGAGCTGAGCAATGGGAACTGTGATACAGCCCAAGCCTCCCGATGTTTGTGATTGTTTTTCTCAGGTCAGTTAGAAAATATGTGCTTTTGCATAGAGGGTAAAACTCAGCTCTGAGTTTAACAAATTATGAAAATGCAACCCTCCACAATATGAGGTGATGGAAGACATACTGATAAAGCACACATAATCCCAAAGTCTAATTTCAGCCTTTGGAACACAAAACTATTTAATAGATGGAAAGAATTTATTGATAAAAATTTCATACCTTCCCCATATCCCTCTATGTCTTAGATCTCATATTCCTGTTTTCCTGTCTGTGAATGTTTGTCATCCAGTAATTGTTTATATCTTTCTTTCCAGCTTAATGATGCCCTTTCTGGGTCTGGGAACCCCAACCCTCAAGGATGGCCTGGTCAATGGGGAAACCAGCCTGCTGGGGCAGGGGGCTACCCAGGGGCTTCCTATCCTGGGGCCTACCCCGGACAGGCACCTCCTGGCGGCACCTACCCCGGACAGGCACCTCCTGGCGGCGCCTACCCCGGACAGGCACCTCCTGGCGGCGCCTACCCCGGACAGGCACCTCCTGGCGGCGCCTACCCCGGACAGGCACCTCCTGGTGGCGCCTACCCTGGACAGGCACCTCCTGGCGGCGCCTACCCTGGTTTTACAGGACCTGCTTATCCTGGACCAACTGCACCAGGAGCCTACCCTGGACAACCAAGTGGGCATGGGGCATACCCTGGTGCCGGCCCCACTGGTGTCCCTATGGGACCACTGGTAAGATAGCATTAGTCATTTCATGTACTTGACCATGACAAGGACAGAGCTAAGGAAGAATGCAGCAATTTTCTGGGACTGCAGTGCTATCACTTTGCAGTGCTCTGGTTGGGAACTTGTTCTGGGCACTGACCTTCAAAGGGCCTCAGGGAGACCTGAAGCTTTAACCTTACTGCTTAGAGCCACTTTTCAAAGACCAGAAGTGTTGTGTGTTGGTCTAACAGAAGAAATAGTTATTGAGCTTAGTATGTATAGTGTTGTCATGAAGAGACACTAACCCAAAATCTGAAGCCGTCTGTAAAGCAGCTTTATGCTATAAATCATGTTAAGAGCATAGTAATGGGAAAGTTTTTGTTATGAATAAACACTGAGTAAGTAATGTGCCAGTAGTGTGCTTCTCCATGGATGATCTCATCTGACCCCACACCCACCCTGTAAGGTATTCCCATTTTACACATGAGGAAATGGGCAGGACAGTCATACAGCTCATGATCATAGGGAGAACATGCGGGGGAACCAAGGTAATCACTCTAGTTTCAACAAACCTTATAAAGATAATTTTGTAATGTAAGGATTGAATTTTCATTTATATTAAAACACATTTTAGTGAGTACATTCTAAGTGTGAAACCTTAATGCTGCAGGGCTCAGATACGTCTCAGACACAGGCCCTTCCCTTCTGGACTTCTGCTCCAGCTGGGAATAAACAGCTCCGAGGAAGGAGTTCAGTGGCAGCTTGGGGTCCGACCCGGTCAGGACCACGCAGAAGGTGGCACGGGCAGCATCTGACCTGCTTTTAGGTCGGCTCAGAGGAAAGCGCAGAGAAAGTGTCGGGAGTGGGGGTGGCATTGGGCAGGGCCTGCCCACTGACAGTTAGTCACCGGCAGGTAGAGGGGGACATGGGAGCAGATGGGAGAGGGATTGCAGAGGAAGAACCCCAGACTCTGCTGGTTAAGTCTTAGGAGTCAAGAGATGACTGGCTTTTCAAGACAGGACAAACTAGGGCACCAGCCAAGGGGCACTCCAAACAGGGAACTCAGGAAGGGGACGGACTGGGAAGGGGGGAGGAGAAACAATTGCAGTTTGTACGTGTTGAATTTGCAGCATGGAGCAAATCCAGAAGGAGGCAGAATGGGACTAGTACAGATCAGGGCTGGAGATAAAAGACTGATGATAGTTGACCACAGGGAGGGAATGAAAAAAAGAAGACACCAGTGATGCAGCTTTGAGAATATTTACAGTACCTTGAACATAAGTATTTGAGGAATGAACTAGGAAATGTATTAACTGGAAGGTGTTCATTTCACAAATATTGAGTATCTGCTACATACTAAGTACTCTGCTGGTGCTGAGTAAAACACATAAGAACCCAGAAGCCCAAGAATGTGACATGATGAAGTATGTTATGTGACAGGGGTCCTAAGACTGACACAAAAATGTCAGTGTTGATTGTAAGGTCTAGCTTAAGCCCTTTCAAAATATAGTTTAAGTGAATGAATTATAGACTGGGGTGGCCCCAGTAATGAGCTACAATGCTCCAAGAAGGACTGTGTTCTGTCTTTGGCACCAATTAACTGATGGCTTCATTCTTGATTCTTAGTTTTACATGTAAGGAACCTTATCTCTCCAGGCCCTGGGCACAGTGGCCTGGGAGTCGGACAGATGGCTTAAATTACAGTTATGTGTTATTCACACGTATTACTAGTCACTGAACTTCAGCAACATACTTTTCTTTCTCCAAGAAAACATGACTATTGATACACATGTTTTGTCATCCTTAGACTGTGCCATATGACCTGGCTTTCCCTGGAGGAGTCATGCCTCGCATGCTGATAACAATTCTGGGCACAGTGAAGCCCAATGCAAACAGGTACAGAGCAAAATGTGGAAGTCTAACGTGTTCGCTCACTGGTTTTTGAATAAAAACGGATCTCTCTTGAAGTTTAATAGAATCTTTAAAACTACACACATTTAATGTCTTGGCTTTCCCATCGTATGGGATTATCCCGTTAATCACTGTGTATTCCCACCAAAGGAACAAGGTTTCCCTTGCCCTTTTTCTTCCAGAACCTAAAGAAAACAGAGTTCTACATTGTGAGGACCAGGAGGAGGAGCAGAAAATCCCATTCTGTTCATTCTTCCTGGTAGTGAAAACCTTCTTAGTATTAAAGGAAAGTAGAGTCTGTAATGGCACGTTTGGCCATCTGTCCCCCTCTGAACCATATAGTGTCCAGAAACCCAAGCATGCACTTTAGTTTAGATGTCCATCAGAAATGAGGGTCGGAACCTAAAGATCCCACTGGACATAGTGGTGAGTTGATCTGAGAGCTTGAACGTGATCCCTCTGTGTCCTCAGGCCAGTCTCCCTGCGGTTGTGCGGTCACAGTGCAGTGTCAGAGCTCTTGAGCTGGGCTGCCGTTGGCTGTCTCACACCGGGTGCAGCAGAGTCAGATTCCCATTGGCCTGGTCACACATGATAAGTGGCAGAATGGGGAACCCCAGTCTTCTGACTGGTTGCTATTTACTTGAAAGGTTTGAAAAGATTGTACAAGTTGAAGACTTCACCAAAATAGTCAACCTTTGCCATGGGAACTGGTTTGATTGGGGTGAGTTAGGATGGAGCAAGACTTTGAGCTACTTTAGGAAAATCCGTGCTGTTTCTGGCTGCCCTGGGACACCAGGCTCTGGTTGTTGCCACAGGTTATATAATACTTCTGTGTCATACAAACAGTCTGAGGATACCCTGAGGCCATCCAGTATGCCTGTCCCTGAAGTTCGTGGTGCCACTAAAAGTCCTGCCTCCATTAATTAGTGTGTCTCTGGGTCTTATGGGCAGTATATAAAAGACACACAAACAGCCTCTGTGAATGTCTGTCACCTTGCTCTGGGTGAATCAACAGGAGCCACCTTCTCCATTACTAGGAGACTGGCCTGATCAGATCATTTTACATTCGAATAGCCCATTCACTCCAAGCTCTAGACAGCCTGCTATGGGTCTGCTCCATAGTCACCACCCTAAGACAACTCTTCTTCCCATAGAGCTTATATAGCTTCTCTAAATGGTACTCCTTGTACAATAAAGCTTGTCTCTCTGCAATTTGCAAAACATACATTCCCTATGTTCTTATCCATCTTTCCTCCCAATACAACATAGAGCCCCGCACACCTTATTCTGTGTTCAGCATGCCGTTTGTTACTATCTGCCCCCCCTCTGACAACACCCAGGGCTCAGAACCACACGGGTATCTTTGCCTTTATTTAGGGGTATCGAACTGCACACTTGAGCTCCATTTACACTAGAGATGTAGACTGAGACTGTGGCAGATCCGAACTGATTTAGGTTGGAATGGTTAAGGTGCCGGTAAACTGAAAAGACTGTTGCTTGGTCCTGCAAATTCTATGTAAGGAATTGGAGGAAAAAAAGATGCTTAAGGTGGGAGATGACGATATCTTCCTTTTCCCTGAAGAGGAAATACAGCCATTGGATATTTAGTCAAATACCATTTTGATTGCCATTTGACTGTTTTGGTCCCTCCCTGGGAATACATTTGTGGTTGGGTTGATTACCAGGTGAATCCAAGTTCCCAGGGAATTAGTGAGTAGGTCGGAAGAGCAGCTTTTGCTTTAAATCAAGAGCACCGGCTGCATCTGGTATGAGTGCTCATACTTTGAGAAACTGGGGGATAGGGTCAGCAGTTGAATAGTCAGAGGACTCATGTTTGCATTAGCATCCGAGGAGAAGGAATGGGGTCAAGAAGTTCCACTTCACACATGGAACGTTCAACACATTTGCTGTCATGATTTTAGAACTTAGTGACGAGATGCCGAATATTAACTGTGTGATCTCATTCTTTCTTTCTGGAGTAGGTTGTTGGTTAACAGGAGGGAGCCAGGATTTGATCTCTTGTTTATGTGACTGGCTTGCCATCAGTAGATATTAAAAGCAACCTGGCTGGGTAGGAAGGAGGCAACTATTGTTACATGCAACATAAGAACTGCATGTGCTCAAAGTGGCCTCAACCCTGTATGAGGAAACCAGAAACAGAAGCACAGACACACAGAGCAGACTAACAGCTGCTGGGGGGGGGGGGACACTAGACTAGTCAGAGGACATTTTTGCCCTTTGACAATGATAACAGAGAAGGATATCGATTGACTGAGGGAGGGGCGAGGCTGGGGCTGGGTGGAGGTGGGAAAAGGGGGAAAAAACAGAGGAAACAGCTGTAATAGCATAAACCTTGAAGGGTTTTCATGAGGAGTAGGGGTAAAGAGGGAATTACAGCTGGAGAGAATGATGTAGTTAAAGACAACGAGGCAGAACAACTCGAGCCCAGAATAGTCTCCCTGACTTTTAGGTGCTCAGTAGTACATGGGATACTTGGCCTAGTGTACAGTTTGAACCCATTTTCTGGTTGGTTTTCTGTTTAGAAAATTCCTGTATTTATAAAATGATTTGCTCTTTTAGAATATCCTATGTTCTTTACTTGATACAAATACACAACTTGATTCATTTTTCTAACTCTGGTCTACGGTTTAAACAGACTTGTTTTAGATTTCAAGAGAGGGAATGATGTCGCCTTCCACTTTAATCCACGCTTCAATGAGAACAACAAGAGAGTCATTGTTTGCAATTCAAAGCTGAATAGTAGCTGGGGACGGGAAGAAAGACAGTCGGTTTTCCCATTTGAAAGTGGTAAACCATTCAAAGTAAGTTCATCTATTATTCTATATCGATAATCCCATCCCTATTGCTCATGGGGAAATCACTCTAGAATCGCAATGCACTTGGGGTGAATTTTCTTTTTTAAAATTGATTTTAGAGAGAGAGGAAGACAGGAGAGAGAAACATCGATTTGTTGTTACACTGATTTATGCATTCATTGGTTGCTTCTTATATGAACCTGCAACCTTGGTGTATCAGTACAATGCTCTAACCAACTGAACTACCCAGCAGGGCACTGAAATGAGATTTTTCTCAGCTGTCCTGGGACACCTAATCAGCTCCTCTCCATCCCAGAGGACCAGGATCAGCAGGCTGGAACACGGCCAGGAGTGGCATGCTCCCCGATCCCATCCTGTTACCACCCTGAGTTTAGGCTTTTCTGGAAATGAGAAAAATAGCGTCTTAAAAAGGCAAAAAGTCTCATTTGGATTGAGACTTAGTTCTTATTTAATATTGTATTAGTTTCAGGTGTACAGCATAAATTTTTAAATTCTAAAATACATGCTTATGAAAAGTAATGTATAGATTTTCAAATTAACTAAAAAGCCCCCCATCTTTTACCTTCTGAAGGTTGCAACTTAATCTTCCCAGTCTTTTTTATGGTGTACAGTGAACTGTTTTTAAGCACTGCTTCACCAGCATTTATTTGGCTGACAGAGCTGCATTAGGACTGACTGTGAAGTGGGCAATAAAGCAGCCAAACTAGAATCTCGAGGGCAGAGACAAATAGGGAACACAGTCCAAGTTTGGCGTGCCCCTTTCAGTGTCAGAACATTGTTATTTCATTGTTTACACATGGTAATTCAACCAGTACCTGCTGGTGAAAGTTTGGAAGTATTACAAATAAAACCTGGAAATATTTTATTTATGTGTAACTACTAAATACTAAAATTTTTGTATTTTACTAAATACTGACATACTGTACTATTCTTATAAATCTTTGCTTTCTGGAAGAATAATTTTAAAAACTATGCATGTTTAAAACTTAGATATTGCCTAAGTGCTACTTCCAAAAGCATGTAGGGATCACCACCTGCACTACTGGAAGACTATGTTTTCCATACTCTTGCTAAACTGGTTATTACCCATCTTCATAATATTTGCTGTGTTACGACTTTAGTGATTATTTTTACTTTTACTTTTAGGTGGTTTAGGCCATATAAAAGCTTTTTGTGTAGACACATATTTATGTAGGTGTTATTTTTTCCTTTGTTGCTTCAACTGTGTAACCTAAAAATGTTGTCATTTTGCTTTTAAATCTTTGAATAATCTGGAGATTTTTTTTTTTGCTGTAAAGTTACTTTTCCTGGACTTTAATCAGTTCTACAAATGATCACAAAGATGAAAATGTGGACACCCTGAGTGTAGGACAGCTGGTTTTGAAATTAGTGGGCATTTCTCAGTTTTGTGTGTGTGCCATTTCAGATACAAGTGCTGGTGGAATCTGACCACTTCAAGGTTGCAGTCAATGATGCTCACTTGTTGCAGTACAATCATCGCATGACGCACCTCAAGGAAATCAGTGCAATGAAAATTTCTGGTGACATCGACCTCACCAGTGCTTCATACACCATGATGTAATCTTAAAGGGGCAGACCTTCTAAAAATGATATTGAATATAAACATTACCCATTTAAAAGTTCCATGTTTAGTACAAGTGAAAAATTTGTACAAGGACCTTTATTCAACAAAGTCCTTCATGTAATTCATCCATTCAATAAATATTCTGTTACCTGTTTATATGTCATTTAATTGGGGTAGTTTATTCTTGATAATAAACAGTGGACTCAATGATAGAAGTATGTAGCAATATTAATGTTAGAATAGTTTTCTATACTTACTAAAGTATCTTTAAAGAAATAGTAAATACTACACATTAACCTTGCTCTTCCTGAGTTTCATTAAGAACAAGGAAATCACTCTCCTGTTTTCTTAATAAAATATATTCAGGAAATGAGAAAAGTAGAAAGAGCTTAGCCACAGATGATCTATGGCTCATAAGCAATTACTGTTGGCCTTCTGGTGTATTTCTTTTGAGTCCTTTTCAATCTTATTTTCTCGCTCTAAACTCGACTTCACTGCTTTCAAGTCAGTTCTGGACACCAAAATACTCACATTGGTGTCCATTGGTGTCTATCTCCCCATAGGTTTTGCTGTTTACAAAACCTCCAGATCTGGAGAGGGTGGGGGAGTAGTTTCTCCATTAGCTACGTAATCAGCTTCAAAACTTTAATAGTTCCTATTGTCAACATTCTTAACCATGCCTTTCTGCCCATATTATCAGCAAACCCAAAGAATAAAATTTCAAAACTAGGATGTAGTCACATCACTTCATTTTTAAAAACCAAAAGATTATTTGTTTCTACTCTACCATCTTCTCAGATTGGTAATTGCCACAGGCTGGTTTCCCCAGGAAGGAAAGAGATAAGAATACAAGAGGGTTATCAGGAAGTGCTCTTACAATCCAGAACTGTGAGGACCAGCAGGTACACAAGGGGGCAGAGGGAGAGGTTGAGCATGGATGCCTCACGCTACCCCACAGGGGGTCTTAAAGCTGGGAAGACCCTTTGGAACAGTCAAGAGGGGGACAGGACCTTGTATCCCCACTTCAGTAAATGAACACAGGCCATATGGGAAACGGTGAAATTGGGTGAAGTGGCTCTCTCCACCTAAGGCACTTCAGCGGGATTTTGGAAAGGGTCTTATTCTACCCAGTTTTCTTGCATTTTGTCTTTAAAGATTTTCCTCATACCTCATAATTCTGGAGTCCAGCAGCCTCAGCACACTCTGTCCGGTTGTAGGGGACACTGACGGTGACCTACACAAAACCCATTCCCGTGTCCTGATAGTGGTTTTATTCAGGTATGATCCCACAATCAGTAGGGAAGCATTAGTTTAAGCCATCCCCCTGGCTGGTTCTTACTGATCTGTAGAAGAAGGATGTGTGGCATTAGTTGGCCTAACCAGACCACAGGAAAGGGCACTGCTCTGATTACCACTAGCAGCCATATCATGACCCCTAAAGGACCCAGCCTCAGAGAAGTGCCAAGGATGACAGAATGGGCTAGAACAGAAAGTTGGACTTTGATGCCACCATTGAACTGTTGATTGCAAAGTACTGAGACTCACCCTGACAGCTTGTGAAATAAATTTCCTTATTGCTAAGCCCGTTTAATTTTACTATAATAGCCCAAAACTTTCTAAATGATTCAATAATATATCTTCTTAAACCTACCCCCCAATCATCTTTACTGACATTGTCTTATTCTCATCTGTATTGCTTCATTATGTGGCATAGATTCTAAGCCTTGGATTATTTTGTACCAACCTCTTTTACATGTCCATGGCCCTGGGCCCCTAAGTAGTATCTATGAAGAAGTGTAAAAAAGAAGTAGCATATATAAAGTATATATACTTTATAGAGAAGTATATATAAAATGCATTCATTATATAAGCATTCATTAATGAACCATTCTGCGTATCTTGCTTGAATTGTTCATTAATGAATACAAGCAATTTTTATCTTTTGGTAAGACTTGGCATTTAGAGATGCCTAAAGATGGCACTCTTCTAAGATGGCGCCCCACGTAGCCTCCCAACTGCTTGCATGGATTTATAATAAAAGTACACGTCTTTCCTTGTTTGAAAACCCCTAGTCTTAGGGGGCTTATCCACACAGTTCCTGTTTATTGGTCAACCTGTTTGAAGGTAGAAGTAACTGGACAGGGGTCTGGCTGCAAACTAGCGATGCTGAGTCTTCTCGGAGCTCTGTTGCTCTCATGGCCCTGTCTGCTACAGACCTACAGGTAAGAGTTTTATAAAAGAGAAATACTTCAAACCCATAAAGTGACTGACGTAATTCTCTTCAAAGAAGGCATTTCCTCCAGAACCTGTCAGTCATGTCAAGGGGAAAATAAAAAAGGCAAGAATTTAATGGGTACCTCTTTAACTATTTGAAATTGCAACTTGTAAACTGACATCAGAATCCAGAGAGCTCACCTAAAGAAACTCAGTATTATCCTGGAAAATGCAATATGCAAAGCCGTTCCACGTCGACAAGTTGAAAGTTCAAACTAAAAGTATGAAAGGACGCAAATATTTCTGTCAAAGTTTAGTACTATATTTTGATTAAGCTGAAGAGTACTCATGAGCTCTGAGTAAGCGTTCTTAGCCTCAAGCTTACACATTTTAAAGAAGAAAGGCAAGGCATGGTACACTTTTTATTCTGCATGGCTATTGTACAAAATATCCCCACTTCCCTTGAGAAACGGCACCACATCCAAAACACACTTTGATGAACACTGAATATTAAAACATTCCATGACACTATATAAATGGATTGAATAGAAGTGGACAAAAATACAAAGTCTTCATCCTTCTGGTATTCTAAGAATATACCACAGCATTAATAACACGAAGGAAAATGTTTGGAATTATTTTTAAATTCAAAATTCTTCTGGTTGTTCTCCACTGAGGGGCCTCAGAGGTGAGAAGGTAATCAGGTTACCACCGAAGGAAATGTGTTTGGCCTGTTCTCGACGTCTCCTCCCCACGGGAGTGAATGGGTTACTGCAGTCGAGGCCTGGCTAGAGAACAAGTTCAGAGAAGTCACTTAAAAGCGCCACCAAGAGTTTCAGCAATTTACTTCAACACTGCAAGTGAATCGTAAATTATAACATCAATAGTATTTCCCCACATAATAAAATTATCAGTGACGTAATGATTGAGCAACTTTCCAGATCTTATTTCAAATACATACGTTTTAAATGAAAAGGTATATTAACACATGCGTAAAAGGTGATCAGTAACAGGTAAATGCACTTCAGCGGCATATTGCACAATGAATAAAAGCCACATGGGCAGATTTCACAAGCCTACTCTAACCACATAACAGTACTTAATAGGCCTTTTTCTAGAATGTGATCCTGCTGAGATCCTTTTTCTTAGTTCCCCCTCAAATCCCATTTTGGGTTCAAACGATGCTACAGAGTAAGTAATACTTAGTTCTAAAATAGATGAACTATAAACAAATTTTAATATAATTTAATATTTATGGAAGTGGAAAAGAATTCACAAAGAGACTAAATTATAAGGTACTAAGATTTATCAACAAGAAAATGTATGATTGTGAAGCAAATTTAATTGTATTATTAACATACTAAAAACAGAATATGATTGCTTTTCTAGACTTAAGTTATAATATCATATAAGAAATAGTCATTCAGAATTCAGATCTGACTTAATCAGAATTAAGTCACATGTATATAAATTGGCTTTATGCTAAAGTCCCTGCCCTCTAGGCCGCAGCCTGCAATTAAAGAAGGGTGAGGGCAAGAAAGAACAGAGGGTCACAGTAACAAACTTCATTCTGCTCTGGAGATCCGAGGTGGCCCAGAGCCTGAACACAAAGAAGGCATCTTTGAAAGATAATGAAAGCCAACATACAACGAGGTCCTTAAGGAATTAGTGGCTTAAGGAAGCCTGGTAATAGTTGCTGTTTGACCCTACACTTGCCTTAATGAAATTTTTATATTCTGAGATCAAAGCTAAGCAAATCAAGGCCATCTCCTGACCCATTTTTTTTTCTTGAGGTAGGCCAATATTGTTATGAATGTCCCTCTTAGAACCACTTTTGCTGCATCCTGTAGATTTTATTATGTTGTATTTCTGTTCTAATGTTATCTCTAAGTATTCTTGATTTCTTTGGTGACCCCATTGTTTGTTCAGCAGCATTGTTTAACCTTCATGTTTTTGCAGTTTTTCCAGTTTTCTTTTTGTAATTGATATGACTTCAATCTTCTTGAATTTATTTATTTTTGAAAAAGATTTTAGTTACTTATTTCTAGGAGAGGAAGGGAGGGAGAGAAACATCAATATGTGGTTGCCTCTCCCACAGCCCCTACTGGAGACCTGGTGGGCAACACGGGCCTGTGCCCTGACTGGGAATCAAACCCGCAAGTCTTTGGTTCACAGGCCTGACTCAATCCACTGAGCCACACCAGCCAGGGCTTCATGAATTTATTAAGATTTGTGTACCAATATGTGGTCTACCCTGGAGAATGTTCTGTGCGCACTTAAGACTGTATTCTGCCAGTTTTGAATGGAATATTCTGTATATATCTGTCAAATCCATCTGATCTAATGTATCCTTTCTCTTCCTTTTCTTTCTCTTTTTCTCTTTCTCTCCCTCTCCCCCTTCTCTCTCCCTCTCTCTCCCTTACTCCTTTTACTTTTATTAGCATTTCTTTTCATCTTAATTTACTCCTGGTCCGTAAGTTTTGTGTCTTCAGTTTCTACTGGGATATTTTCCTTCTGTGAACTCCCCTCTTCTGGTTTAGGAACAATCTGCTCTTTTCCACTAAGGATCATCTCTGTGTGGCAGGGAGAGCTCACACACGGGTTAACCCACCCACGAGCTGTAAGTTCTGTGTCACATCTAAGTTCAGTTCTGTTTTGTTTACCTGGATGTGCTCAATGACCAGAGAATCTACATAAAAACCCTTAAGGTCATTATTACTCTGCATTTTTAAGCCTGCATAGCAAAACTTCAGCACTCTTTTTGGGTGACCGACCCTGTGTCTGGCCCCACTGTTTGGCCTGGGCTCACCTACCAACTCCACCATTATCACAATGGAATGGCACACATTGCTTCTGTAAATCGTTAGGTTCTTGGTGGCTTTTTGGATATGCATACCCTTAAAGAGCAGTTTCACGAGTGTTCTTAAAGTGAAGACAAAGATCTTAACCTACTGATTTGCATGATTTTGTGGGGTTTCTGGGTCAAGTGAACAGCACACCATTTTCAGAAGTCATCTCTGGCTGCTTTCAGAAAGAGTAGTTCAGCCCTGGCTGGTGTGGCTCCGTGGATTGAGCATAGGCCTACAAACAAACCGAAAGGTTGCTGATTCGACTCCCAGTCAAGGTGCATGCCTGGGTTGTGGCCAGGTCCCCAGTTGTTCGTGTGAAAGAGGCAACCAGTTGATGTTTCTTTCACACATTGATGTTTTTCTCTGACTCTCCACTCCCTCTAAAAATAAACAAAATCTTTTTTTAAAAAGTGTAGTTCAGTGTTTTCTAAATGATTTTGTCTGATCTGTTGCTGTAAGTTAATGTCCCTTACAGTTATTCAATTGCTTTAATTTCCTCCTTTTAAGTCCATTAATATTACATTTATATTTATAAATGTTACATCTTCTTATTAGGTTGATCCCTTTATGATTATGCAGAGCCCTTGTCTTTTATTATAGTCTTTGTTGTTTTAAATTTTTTAAAAAGATTTTATTTATTTATTTTTAGGGAGAAGAAAAGGGGCAGGGAAGGAAAAAGAAGGAGAGAAACATCATGTGTGGTTGCCTCTCACACTCACAACCCCTACTGGGGACATGGCCCACACCCCAGGCATGCGCCCTGTCTGGAAAATGAACCAGTGACCTTTTACTTTGTAGGCCGGCACTCAATCCACTGAGCCACACCAGCCAGGGCTACAGTCTTTATTTAAAGTCTACTTTTTTCTGATATGAGTATAGGCACACCAGCTTTCCTTTCATTTCCATTTGCATAGAGTATCTTTTCCCATCCTTCACATTCAGTCTCTGCGTGTCCTTATTTTGGAAGTCTCTTGCAGGCAGCATATAGATGGATCTTGTATTGTTTTCCTTTAAATCCATTCAGCCATTCTGTGTCTTTTGGTTGGTAAATTTAGTCTATTTACATTTAAGTTTGTTATTGATAAGTACCATATTTTTCAGACTATAGGATGCACCCCCCCCATTTGGGAGGAAAATGGAGGTGTGTCTTACAGTCCAAATGTAGCTTACCTGGCTTGCTATGTGTATGTGCGTGGGGGGGGGCGGTTGCGGTAGAGTGGGGTCACAGGTAATTAAATATTTTACCAATTTTTTTTTTGCTTCAAAATTGTTTTTCCTATTTTATTCCTCTAAAACCTAGATGTGTTTTATGGTCAGGTATGTCTTATAGTTCTAAAAATACAGTATATACTTATTGCCATTTGTTAATTGTTTTCTGGCTGTTTTTGTAGTTCCTCTTTTCTCTTTCTCTCTTCCTTGTGATTTGACAGATTTCTTTTTATATTTTTTAGTCTCAATTTTTAATTAATTTCTTAATTTACTTATTTTTCTTTTTATAATTGTTGTTCAAGTACAGTTGTCTCCATTCTCCCCCCACCAGGATGGCTTTCTTTACTGTTATGTTTAGATTCTTTTCTTTTTTTCTTTTATGTGCTTAGTATAAGTTAAAAAAATTTTCTTTGTGCTTACCACGAAGTTCATGTATTATATAACATCTATATGTACGTCTCTTTTAAATTGCTAGCAACTTAAGTCTGAATACAGTCCAAAGCTTTACATTGTTGCTTCCCCCCACCCTACAGACTTTATTTTTGATAACACATTTGACATCTTTTTATTTTCTGCTTCCCTTAACTAATTATAGTAATTTTAGTTAATTTTACCACTTTTGCCTTTTAACCTTCATACTTGTTTTATAAAAACATAAATTGACTGATCAATTATTATTACTGTATATTTACATCTTTCAGTGAGATTTTTACTTTCATATGTTTTCTTATTATTAATTAGTGCCTTTTCTTTTCAGCTTAGAAAAGTCCCCTTAACATTTGTGTAGTCTGGTTTAATGGTGTTGAACTCCTTTACTTTTTGCTTATCTGGGAAAATCTTCATCTCATCCTCAATTCTGAGTGATAACTCTTCTGGGTAGAGAATTCTTGGTTGGAAATGTTTTCCTTTCAGCACTTTGATCGGGTCATGCCACTGACCTTCGGTTCATAAAGTTTCCACTGAATTCCCTTGTATGTACTAAGTTGTTTTTCTCTTGCTGCTTTTAAGATTCTCTCTTTATCCTTAACACTTACCATCCTGATTATAATGTCTTTTGACGTATGTCTCTTTGGGTTCCTCTTACTTGGAACTCTGGGCTTTCTGGGCCTGGATGTCTGCTTCCTTCACCAGGGTAGGAAAGTGTAAAGCCATTATTTCTTCAAAAAAAAATTTTTTTTTGGTCCCCTCTCTTCTCCTTCTGGGACCCTTATAATGCAAATGACATTCTGCTTTATGTTGTCCCAAAGGTCACTTAAGGTACCTTTACTTTTTTTTTTAAAGATTTTATTTATTTATCTTTAGAGGGGAAGGGAAGGAGAGAGGGAGAGAAACATCAATGTATGGTTGCCTTTCATGCATCCCCTGCTGGGAACTGGCCTGCAGGGAACCTGTCTGCAACCCCAGTATGTGCCCTGACTGGGATCGAACCGCGATTGTGTGGTTCGCAGGCCCGCGCTCAATCCACTGAGCTACACCAGCCAGGGCCAAGGTATCTTTACTTTAAAAAATTCTTTCATTTTGCTTCTCTGTCTGCATGTATTCCATTGCTTTGTCTTCCAGCTCGTTGATTTGTGCTTAATTTTTATCCAGTCTGCTGTTAAACCCTTGTAGGAAATTTTTCATTTCAATTATAACTTCTGTTTGGTACTTTCTATCTCCTTGTGGAGGTTCTCACTGAATTCACTGATTCTTCTCCCATGTTTGGCAAGCATCTTTATGACAATTACTTTGGACTCTTTTATCAGGTAGGTTGCTTAGCTCTGTTTCATTAAGGGCCCTGACCCATTTGGCAATAGGCCCTGGAAAATTTCAAGGTAAACCAGAGGTGCTGGCCCTGGCTACACATTAAAATCACCTGATGAAGGCCCCACTACAGATCACTGAAATAAAAATACCTGGGTGAAAGGCTACAAACCAACGCTGTAAACACTTAGTAGGCAATAGAGTACTTTTTCCTTCATGCCATAGTTAATATAAATCAAAGCTCTGCCTATAGAGGAACTTAAAATTAATAAGGTAAATAGATTCCTAAAATTTTAAGATGTTAAAGATATAATAGTTCATATTTTCTCTCTTTAAAAATTTTTATTTATCTTTAGAGGGGAAGGGAAGGAGAGAGGGAGAGAAATATCAATGCATGGTTGCTTCTTGTGCGTCCCCTGCTGGGAACTGGCCTGCAACCCAGGCATGTGCCCTGACTGGGAATCGAACCGCAGTTATTTGGTTCACAGGCCTGCATTCAATCCACTGAGCTACACCAGCCAAGGCCATATCATTCTCTTAATGAGATTAAATGTGCTCAGTGTACACTGTGTGTCTATGTGTACCTGTGCCTATACATAAATTAACATGGAGAGATGAGAGCTTTTATAGGAAGGCTTCATAGAAAGACTAATGTTTGAACTAGACTTGAAAGTAGATCACCAAGAATAAAGCCAAGAGAGCTTCCAATTAAAATAGCCTCCAAATAAATATGGTAATCTAAAAGAAATAGAATGAAAATAACCAATGATGACTGAAGGTAGAACAGACATTATCTCCCCAACTGCAAACCTCAGGTAGGCAGAAACTTTATGCTATATTTTTCTTGTATCACTTAGAAATCCCTAACATGATCCAAGCCAAGTATTCAATCAATTTGTCATAATAAATTTGATTCATAAATCACATGGGGAAATAAATCTTCAGAATTTAGAAATAAAAATTACTATACTTTAAAGTATATAAATATAAAATTTTGCTCCCATTTTGATAAAATGCATAAGTATATTTCACAAGAAAGAAAACAATGACGATGTAGATTTTAAACTTTGTACACAAATTAAAAAGTAATGCTCATTTTATAAAACAAATCTAGTATTTACAGAAACTTTTCAAATTAAGTGGAAAACTTACTGAATCAATAGGTTGGCATTCAGAAGTAAGATTTTTATCAAATAGTACTGAAAAACAAAAAAGAGATATTTTTAACTTTTTAAAGACTATTCTTGTACTTAAGGGTTGTTAGAAATTAACAAAGCATTAAGAAATATGAAAAGTTCCATATTACCAAATGCTAAGACAAAAATATAGATTGTCTTATGCTATATAACATTTTTAAAGTGTTTGAATTTCTTAAAATTCTTATCCTTAATTTCAGACTAAAAAAGTCTTCCGTAAGCAAATCTCATGCTTGTAATATTAAAGTTACCCAAAAGATGCTAGATGAAGAACGTAGCCGGAATCCTTTATTAGTCTGGCCAAAGTAATATTCATTTTGTCTCAGGCCTCAGCCAGAACAGCACTGCTGAGTAGCAGGTGAAATTAGGTGAAACCATCAGACATTACATTATAACAAAAATGAAAGAGCCATTTCCCAATGCAGAGCAATCACAACAAAGCAGGCAGAAATAAACATTAGGGAAGAAAAACAGGGCATTTGGAAGGATGGTTTGAGGATGTATGTATTGAAAGAACTAAAAAAGAAAAACGTAAGGGACTATTTTCTAATTCTGAGTTTTCACAAATAGTGAAGGTCTAATGTAAAATGCTGCTTATTTCCAACATGGACTAGTACCTGCTGTTGATTTTTAATAAGTTCACCTCAAAAGATTTTGTGGGAGCGGGGGAGGATAGGGTGCTACAACACAAGCTAATTCTCATAAAATATTTACTATGATTATCCAATTTTCAATCTTTCGCCTTAGAAACTGGTACCCAGGGATGTTTACAATATACATTAGTGTAATTTCACTTATTTAATAAAGCCTCAAATATACTGAAAGGACCTCACCTGACTGGGAAATTTTTATCTCTTCTTCCTGTGAGATGTTATTTTGTGGTGGTATATTTTTTTCAGGGCTACTCATCCAAACATCCTGTGTTGTTACTGAAGAATTTATGACGACCACTTCACCAGCAGGTAGAGGCAAACTCATTCTTTCACTGGGTGAACAATCCATCTCAAAGTTTATCTTACTTACATCCTAGAAATAAAAATGATTATTATATTTAATTACCAAACACTGGAACAATTAGAAAAAGTCTTATTGCTATTAAAAATTATAAAAGTAGCCCAGGCTGGTGTGGCTTAGTGGATTGAGTGCCAGCCTGCGAACCAAAGTGTCACTGGTTCAATTCCCAGTCAGGTTCATGCCTGAATTTTGGGCCAGGTCCCCAGTAGGGGGTGCATGAGAGGCAACCACACATCCGTGTTTCTCTCTCCTCCCTCCCTTCCCTTCTCTCTAAAAATAAACAAATAGAAAAATGATAAAAACAGACGGATGACACTCTAAATGCAGGCTAAAGAACCCCGTGAACCCTACTATCTTGCTTCCTAACTAATTAGTTCGGATAATAATAGCAATAGTATGATTGAAGGAAAGTTTCTGTGCTCGCTTCAGCAGCACATATACTAAAGTTGGAACGATACAGAGAAGATTAGCATGGCCCCTGCGCAAGGATGACACGCAAATTCGTGAAGCGTTCCATATTTAAAAAAAAATGTTTCTCAGCAATACCTGTACTTGCTTCAGAGACTGGCAAACATTTTCTGTGAAGTGCCTGACAGCACATTTTTTTAAAAAGACTTTCTGAGCCATAGAGTCTCTGCCACAACTACTCAACTCTATTCTATTGCAAAGGCAACCAGATATAATACATAATAAATACATAAATAAGAACATAAATAAATGTGGCTGTTATAATAAAAAATAAAAATAATTATCTTGGTTTGAGCTGGAGAATACGAAATGACACTACAGTCTCAAACAGGCTAAAGGCCTTTCAAACAAGAACTCTCCTTTTGTATTACTGATTTTAGATTTCCAGTGGAAATTATGGGGGTTGTTTATGGAGTTACTATATACAATAATATAAACAGATAGCATGCTGGGCAATCTACTACACTAGAGTAAGACTCACATGGTTTCCTTCAGTTAAATCTTGTAATCTAGGACACTGAGCATCTTCTACTATGCTGCTCCTGAAAAAAGAAAAAAAAAATAGCACTGTACTCAGATAATCATTTTGCTATCTTTTGTGTTAGAGACTATCCTATAGGATAAAAAATGGAGCCTGGTTCAAGATCAGGCCTGATCTGAATAGATTAGTTTGGGACTATAGCTACTACAGAGTGGTTTTACAAACCAACTGTATTCTTTCCCAGAAATCTCTTTACATGTTGGTTTTACTGTACTCTTCCCCAGAAAGCTCACGAGCCTCTTTCCATGTTGGTCAGTTCACCAGCAATTCTCTGCACCTCAGCCAAATCCAGAACTACATACCAGAGAAGGTTAGGAGAAAGCTGACTTCTAGGGGAATGAGGAGGGAGGGTGAAACAGTAAGTCGACTATTGTGTAGCTGGAGTTGGCTACATTTACTTGTTAGTTATAGTGTGTACAGCACATAATCCTAATGTTCTTATCTTGTACTTTATTAAAAATATGTCTCAACCTCTTCCAAGTTGTGGGGTTATGTGTATGTGTATACACACACACGTACATATATGTATACACAATATACATATATACATATATATTTTTTCAATTCTTCTAGTTTTCAGCTTCACTTTGCTTTCATTGCATGAAGTTTACTTGTTAAGATGCTCTCTTTCAGGACTATTTTTGGGGAATTAAGTAAAAAGTTTTTAAAGAGTGCCTGTAATATCACCCAAATACAATTATGGATCTTCTTAGTACAAGATAATAAACTACAGGATATACAAAGTAAAAGATCTTGCATTTAAGAAATGATGATAAATTGGTATTTTGTAATCCATAGACTTCTAGAACATTTGAAATATTTTAGTCCCTACGAAGGCTCAATGATACTCTGGTTTATACAAAAAATTAAAAATTCTAAACTTGTTTTATGAACTATTTAAGAACAATAACATTCACTTGTTTCCCCTATTTCAATTCACAGAGCATTCTTTATATTTTTGACAGTCTTGTTTGCTGCAATGACTGAGTATTCAATGTTGTCTCATCCCCAGGTTAATAATAAATTCAATAGTCCTCTCTTAGCTCCAGACTATAATTTTATTTTCTACTTATTTTAATCTTTTCCTATCAGACTTCCAGTACATTTACATTCATGAACAAGGACCAAACAGGTAATTTTGATGTAAGTAAGTAGAAAGAGTGCAAGCAGCATCCAGTGTCACTGATTACAAGTTGAATTTGGGTGCGTTACTAACTTACACAGTTTTGTCACTTGAAAAATGGGATCTAGTACCTCCCAGGGTTGTTGTGAGGATTAAATGAAATGGCGCATGCGAAGAACCTAGAACCATGTGTAGCCAGCCCCTAACAACTGTTCAGTGCACAGTAGCTCCCCCTTCTCTCATGCTCTGCCACCTGTGAGGACAGCAGTCTCAAGGCACTTTCTATAAAGGCCGGTACAAATGCCTCCCTCTCAGTGACCCTGTAAGGAGGCATCAGTACTGCTCTTTGTAGATGATGAAAGTGAAGTAGTTACATTAACTTGTCAAGCACCAAGCTGCAGTCTGTTCAGCTCCAAAGGACACTATAATGACTTCTTTTCTTTTTAGTTCTACTGTGTTCTCTGTCCATCTAAATATGACCATCCAGCAATCTGAAATCTTAGGCCTTAGTTTTCTCGTTTATACAAGAGAAGTACTGCCTATACGTTACAGGGCCATTGTGAAATTAAATTAAAAATATATGGCTTGCATATTTCAGCAGGTTAACAATCCGAAATAGTATTTAACATCAGCATCTAACTAAATTCTTCATAGCACAGTAAAGAAATACCTGTTTTCAGGAATGTTGGAAAGCAGAGTCGTCTCACCAGCATGTTCCCTTGCGGCACCCTCGGGCTCACGGGCTGCTGCTGGTGGGCGCAGACGGCCCGCATCAGCCCCGCTGTCAGACATGGCTTTGCTGACAGACTTGGGTGTCCAAAGTCTTTGGGAAAGACGTTCAGAAGAGAGAGAATGTCCTAGAAGATGAGAGAAACCACCTCAATATCAAAAGTTCTTTCATTCACTTTTCATTATGACTAGGAAGACAGTGCAAATTCTTCCTAGTCCCCTATCAACTACTCTCTTTCTCTTGTAAAATAGTGTTTGTTAAAGTCAAATGCCCAGAGCCTTCAGTTAAAGACAGTATTGAACACTCACATCAGACTCTGCTTCCTATTGTCATCCCACCAGCATAAGCGGTAAGAGATCATTTTAAAAGGCAGAATGCTACAAAGAAAGAGGAAACTAAAACAGAGACAATAACCAGAAAAATTTGGAAGCTGTAATAAAAATAAGTGAAATTTTACTTAGTATATTCAAGAAAATAAATCCTAAGCAACCAGTGAGGGAAGATAGAGTCAACCCAGTTTATACCATAGCGCCCCTCAAATGAACTGCTGGCCTCAAGTGTCTCTGGAAGTGGAGGAGACTGGTTCAAAGTCACTTTAAGGAACAATTAGAGCCCAGGTTGCTTTCCTCATTCCCCACAGCCGGGCAGCTGCCATCCACCTCCCCCCGTCCCCACACCAAAATCAGAAAACTGGAGGCTTATTTAACCCAAAAAGGGAAACAGAGGGTCTCTGATTTAGAGGATAAAAGGTGAGGTCGAAAGATGGGCACTATATAGAAAACAAGGGGATTAAGTGAGTACTTACGGCATTCAGGTTCCCCTGCCTCCTCCCTACCTCTGCCCAACCCCCATGGCTCCTGAAAGACTGGCTGCCAGAATGGCAGTGAGTTATACCCTCCCGGCAACAGACTGAAAGATTATTCTCTGGGGAGTCCAGCCCATGAGGAAAGACAGAAACAGTGATATGCAGGTTTGCAGCATGGGGGTACATAGCCACGCAGAGCCCCGCTCCCACCGTGTGTGGCCACGAATGAGCTCTGGATGTCCACGGAAAGCCTCTCCTGTGAGAGAGACCAAGACCAGACAGATGAAAGTATCTTGGAACAGATATGGACTCTATGGGGGAAAGAAACATAAAAACTCTCATTATGCCCTCAGAAAGATAAGACAGTGCAGTCTTGTCTAAAGGAATACAGCCTGTGCTGAAATGAAACATTCCAAGAATGAGGAAGAACTACTGGGAATTAAAAACATGACAGCTAACATGAAGTTGAAGAAATCCAGACAGCAGAAGAAAATGTTAAGTACAGGAAAGTGACAAAAGTAGTCTATTTACCAAGAGAAAAATATGTATTTCTGAAAGATCAGAGAGAACAAAGGCAAGTAAATCAAAGGAGTAACTCAAGAAAAAACCGACACTAGTTCAGAGAAGGCCGTAAACAAGTTAAGACTCCAAGACTCCATGAAGAATTACTAATCACTACGTTGCACACCTGAAACTAACTGCATACCAACGATAACTTAAAAGTTTTAAAAAGTAAAAGTCGTTGCCTCTAGGGAGTGACAATGGGATGAGAGGGGCTTTGTGGGACACTTCTGTTTTGTAATGAGCCTCATATAACTAAGTGCTCTGTACATAAAACCCAATTTTAGAAAGGTCAACTTTTGCCATAAACTTTGATCTCCCTAGTTACACATGCAGAGTTGGGAAAAACAGACAGTGATAGGCTCACAGCTGTGGAAACCTCTAGGATCCTTGAGAAGCGGGTAGTGAGCAGCCTTGTTATTAGCAGCGAGGCAATTCCTAAACTGAGGTGATAAATTTACATTTTCCTGTAACTGTTAGAGAGCAGCTAAGCTTTATTTTCAGAAAACTTCCTAGTGGACACAGTTAAATAAGAAGGAGAAAACAGCTCTTCAACTGATCAGTACTCAAAGAGGCTTTGGGCCCTTTCTCCTTGAAAATGAGTATCTAGCTCTTAAAGCACCGAGAGAAGTAACTACTGAGATATAATAAGGAACAGACCACTTCAACGGTGCCCTCTCATCCTATGGCTAATAAACTCAGTCTACTAAACATAGTCTATGAAAAACTGCTCTTGAAAAATATACCCAGTTAGGAAATTATAAGAATTGTTTCCCGAAACATTTTAAAACTAGTGTGTTTACAGTTTATCCAAAAGATCAAAGTTTTATATAAGTTAAATGAAAACCACCACCCTCCATAAATTTCATTTTAAAGCACAGTAGGGAGGTTTGATAGTTTATGACTAAGTTTCCTTTGCATCTTAGATTCTAATCCAGCTTTGAAAATCACCCAGCTTCTCATGCTCCATCATGTTCCTTACCTCCTGAGATCCTGACCTACCTCACAGGATTCTGGGATTAAGAGGTAACAACAGAAGTGAAGTGCCTTAGAAAGCATGCAGTTTGCATGTGTTTGTGAGTGAGCATGTAGTCTACTTTCCAGAAGTCACAGAAAGCTTATATCCCTACATGTAAACACGATTTTTCACTTCCTACACAACCTGCCATTCAACCAAGATATTATTAAGTGGTCTCAGAAGAAAAACAAACCTGAAAACGATTTAACAGGACTTTCAACTCTGAAAAATCCAGCATCAAACACAATTTTATCAACTTCCTTTGGTACCACAGAGCCTGCTGCTTCAGCATGTTCTTCCTGCTTAATTCTCTCTCTCATTGCATGTTTTATGGCAGCAAGGCGATTTCTAGCTGCAATTCTTCCACCATCATCCTGTTTTGGTTTGCTTGCTGTACCCGAGACAACTTTTTTCTGCAAAAAGAAATTATGGCATTTATTAAAAGTACTCATTACTACCTTGTAGGAAGAATAAAACATACATAAAATATGTCACACATTCATCATACACTTATCAAGTTCCTAGTATGTTCTAGGAGTCAAAAGGTAGACAGCAAAGTCCCTGCTCTCAAGTTCATAACTTCACAGTGGAAGAGCTAGGTAAAGACACTGAGAAGGACAAATGCCATGTTAGAGACAAATTCAGAGGGCCGTAGGAGAAAATAAAGATAACACCTAAACACCAATCTCCAAAGGCGTCAAGAAAGGCCTTTCTTGTAAAGGAAGTTGCACGGAAGCTGAAATGACAGTTTGCCAGGCTGAACAATGAAGTGAGGAAAGAGCTCAGTAGAGAAGATAGCATGTTTGCAAAACCAGAAGCAAAAGAAGCAGGAAGGAGTTGGCAAGATCAGCAACAGCTAGATTATAAAACCCCTTACTTGTAACCGTTTTATGGAGCCACATTCATACAGAGAACAAAGGAATAGAGATTACTGATGACTTTTAATCAAGAGATTAAGATTATTGCATTTGCATTTTTGCAAGGTCATTCTGGCTATAGCCTGGAGGGCCACAAGCCACTAAGAAAGGAGACAACTACAATGATACAGGGGAGACAATGATGATAGTTAAACAGAGGGAGAAATGAAAAAAAGTGAAGAGATACTTAAGAGGCCCAACTGAAAGGACTTAGCCTACCAGATGGGTGTGGAGTGGAGACAGTGAAACAGAGAAGGGAGAGAACGGAAGAACGTACCCAGGTTTCGATTTTGGACAGCTGGGGGGATGGTCATGCCATACTGAGACAGGGATGCATTGGTGTGTGTGGAGATGATTTCAGTTTGAGATATAGTGATTTTAAGGTAAGTGAGTCAGGATATATAGACCTTAGCAGTGAGTGTGGTCTGAAACAGATTTGGGAATCATCAAAGGGTGGGTAGGACTGCACAGGAAGACCCAGAAAGGAGAGAAGAGAGTTGAGGTACAAATTCTGAATAGGACAAACTTTAAAGGGATAAATGAAAAAGCAAAAATTTGCAAACGTGACTGAAGAATGGACCCAGAGGTAGGAAGAAAGTCAATAGAATACAATTTTAAGAAAGCAAGTATACTATATTTAACACTGCAGAGGGGTTATTTTATAAATAAGTGTCTAATACCTTCAGCAACTACTGGATCAATAACCTTGGTGATATCTGTTCTGGAGGCATAGACAGGGGTAAAGCGTGCAGTGAGTTGAACAAAGACAGTACAGACAACTTTTTTAGGAAGAAAAACAGGAACAGAGGTACAGACACCTGGAGGGAGGTGTGGACGTCATGCATTTTTTTAAATGGAAAAATACATAAAATTCTAAAGATGTCTAAAAACTAATGAAAAAAAAAAGAAAAGAGAAAACAAGGCTAAATGATATGCGGTCAATGAGTAAGAAGTAGGAGAGAACGGTTTGAAAGTACAGTGGCCTATAAAATAAAGTAGGAGAGAGACATCTGGTGATAAGGGGCAGAATTACAAGACTCTGATATAATGCTATACTCATACAGCCATTATCTACCTCACTGATTACTAATGTTTCCATGACTCAATACTCAATATTCAATACAAAATATCCACAGTAGTTTTAAAATGTTCGAGTATCTTTCATTGTTTAGTAGACATGAAACTCATTCAATCAGTTTCATCACTGTCCTCAGGGTCCTTGTCTTAAGACTTCATTATCACAATACTTTTATGAGGTTCTTTCAGTACTCTAACATTTTTAACAGATTCAAAACATTTTCTACTGGACCACATAGCATAATAAAGAACCAACCTAGAAACCCGATTTTACAACCACAGGCATTTTCCTGAAATCTAAAAGTAAAACTGGCAATGCTCTAAGGTGGTTTGAGAAATATTCATTTGAATGAGTTAAAACATTACTAGAAAAAAAATTACTACAAATAGATTAAGGATGGAATCTATCATGTTAGCAAAGATAACTTTACTGAGAAAGTAATAGGAAATTTTACAAGATAAAGTATATATGGGAGAAGGCAGAAGTTATTTACTACTACTAGTAGTGGTAAAAAAAATACATACATATATATATATGCATATATATATATATATATATATATATATATGCAGAGTTTAAAGAATAAAACAAATATGTACATATCCACTACTTAGCAACTCAGAAGCTGTCCGGGTACCCCAATTCAGTCACAGGCCCTTCCATTCTCCCTCCAAAAATAACCATTCTGAATTTTGCGTACATTATTTCCTTATTCCTTCTTCAAATACAATCAAGAATTGTAAGTAACATATGGGAACTTAGTTTGCAAAATGATAAAAATATGAAGCTAAAAGTTTTTAACCGTTAAAAATAAATCATTAAATTATAAGAGTCTATAATAGAAAATCAAAAACTTACCCGAAACACCTTTTTGCTTGTATTATTGTTACTTTGCCACCCAGATTCCTCAAGTTTGGTCAGATTGTTGAATTTTTGGTTTACATCTTCTATCTGTTAATAAAGTACAAACTTATCAGTTTAATGCTAACTATATTAATATTACAAACTAATGAACTGAGACTTCCAAAAAACAGAGAATGACTTGGACTGGTGACAGATAAAATAAGACTAAATCGCCCTGACCAGTGTGGCTCCGTTGGTTGGGCGTCATCCCACAAACCAAAAAGTTGCTGGTTCAATTCCAGGTCAGGGCGCATGCCTAGGCTGTGGGTTCAATTCCCAGTTGGGGGGGTGTGCAACAGGCAACTGAGCAATGTTTCTCATGTCAATTTTCCTCTCCTTCTCTTTGTCCCTCCCTTCCCCTCTAATGAATAAATATTTTTAAAAACTAAGAAAAAAATAATTAGACTAAGTTAATCTCAATTTAGTATTTAAATCAAGAATTCTTTTTTTTTTAATATTAAATTTTATTTAGTTACTTTTCAAGTACATTTTTTTTAATCTATTTCTCCCATCCCACCGCACCCCCCCGCCCGGTCTCCCCCCTCCCTCCCATTTCCACCCCCCCTAGTAAATCAAGAATTCTTAATGGTAAAATTGTTCATTGCCATTTTTGATCTCATAAACTTTCAAAATCTACATAAAGGATGTCATACATGAGTAACTCTCCTAAATAATATCACTAAAATGGTAGGAGAGATATTATATATTACAGAATGTGATCACAAGTTCTGTCTTTTTAATAAAATAGTTTATTTTCCTACTGAAGGATATACTGGTTGATTCCCAGTTTTGGCAATTAAGAATACAGCTGTTATAAGCACATGTATATGTTTTTGTCTAAACATATGTTTTCAACTCTTTTGGGCGAATAGCAAGAAGTGTCATTGCTGAATCCTATGGTAACAGTGTGTTTGGTTTTGTAAGAGACTGCCGAACTGTCTTCCAAAGGGGCTGTGCCGTTCTGCATTCCCACCAGCGACAAACGAGAATTACTGTGGCTCCCCACCCTCGCCAGCATTTGGTGCTATCATGTCATTCTAATAGATGTGGTACTTCATTGTAGATAAAATTGGCAATTCCGTACTAACATATGATGTTGAGCATCTTACCTTTCATATGCTAACCTTCTTTGCTCACGTGTCCATTCAGGTCTTTTGCCTGTTTTTAAATCAAGTTGTTTTCTTATTGAAAAGGTTTTAACTTTTAAGAGGTCTTTGTATATTTTGGAGAAGAGCATCTTTATCAAATGTGTGTCTTTTGCAAATATTTTCTCCCAATCTGTGGTTTATCTTCTCATTCTCACAACACACTCATTTTAAAAGATTCAAATAATGGCCCTGGCTGGTGTAGCTCAGTGGATTGAGCGCGGGCCTGCGAACCACACAATCGCGGTTCGATTCCCAGTCAGGGCACATGCCTGGGTTGCAGGCCAGTTCCCAGCAGGGGATGCACGAAAGGCAACCATACATTGATGTTTCTCTCCCTCTCTCCTTCCCCCCTTCCCCTCTAAAGATAAATAAATAAAATCTTTAAAAAAAAAATATTCAAATAATGTATTAGCAGAATGGGAATGTATGATCCCCATTCTTCTGGTATTTCCATTCTCCCCCAAAGTGGTAAACATGCTTTGAGTCCTTTTACTATGCATTTATATGCACAGGTACTCATAATCTGTCTCTCATGAAACATAAATGTCAGCCCTGGTTGATGTGGCTTAGTGAGCTGGGCATCCTCCCGCAAACCAAAAGGACACAGGTTAGATTCCTGGTCAAGGCACATGGCTGGGTTGCAGGCCAGGTCCCCAGTTAGGGACTGATGTTCCTCTCACACATTGATGGTTCTCTCCCTCTCCCTCCCTTTCCCTCTAAAAAATAAAGTCTTTGAAAATATGTAAATATCAAAAAGACTCAGGATTATACTTATGACATTCATTTTCAACAAAAGCGTCAATGCAATTCAATACGAATACTTTTTTCAACAAACAGTGCTGGGAAAACTGGATATCCACAAGAAAAAAGATGAATGTAAACTCTTACCTACACCACAGACAAAAAAGAACTCCAAATGGATTATAGACTTACCAAAGTGTAGGAGCTAAAAGTATAACACTTTAAGAAAAAAACGTAAGAGAAAATCTCTGTGACCAGTAGTCAGGCCAAAATAGTTCTTAGCTATGATGCCAATATCACAATAAATGGGAAAAAACCTGATAAACTGAGCTTCATCAAAAGTAAAAATGTTTGCATTTCAAAAGACACCATTAAGAAAATTAAAACGCAAGTCACAAATTGGGAGAACATTATTTGCAAATAATATTTCTGATAAAGAACTTGTATACAGAATGTATAAAAGAACACTTATAACTCAATGCAAAGACAAACTCAGTTTTAAAAATGGACAAAAGGTCTGAATAGACATTTTACCAAAGAAGACCTATGAATGGCTGATAAATACAAGAAAAGGTGCTTAACATTTTTACACTAGGGAAACGCAAATCAAAATGCAAAGGGACGCTTTGCACACAGTAGGATGGCTATACTAAAAAGACAGAAAATAGCAAATACTGGTAAGGATGTGGAGAAATAGGAACACTCATACATTGCTGGTGGGAATGTAAAATGGTTTAATTACTTTGGAAAACAGTTTGGCAGTTTCTTAAAAAGTTAAACATAAATTTAACATATGACACAGAAAAATCTAGGTATCTACCCAAGACAAAAGAAAACATAAGTCTATGCTATGTATGTGAATACTCATGGAACATTACTCATCATTACCACATACTGGAAACAACCTCATTGTCCATCAACTGGTGAATGAAGAGTGATATATCCAAACAACTACTACTCAGCAATGATAAGCAACAAAGTACAGATAAAGCTACAATGTGGAGGAACCTCAAAAACATCATGCTAAGTGGAAGCCAGATACAAAAGACCATATATTAATATCATTCTATTTAACATGAAATGTCCAGAAAAAGCAAATCTACAAAGTTAGTAAGTAGATTTAGTGGTTGCTTGGGAATGGGAATGCAAACAGGCAGGAGGGATCTTCTTGTGATGATGAAATGTTCTAAAGCTGGACTGTGGTGATAGTCGCACAATTGCAAATTTTACTAAAAATCACTGAATTATACTTACCACAGGCAAATTTTATGATATGTAGACTATACTTCAATGCAACTCTTTGTAAACAAAGAGATAAACAAATAAATGTCCCAGGAACCAACTTGAAAAAGTTCCCATTGGGAAGTGAGCATCAATATAGTTAAGTGTAAACGATGCAACACATCAAATACCTTTAAATCCATAAGTAATGAGACTAAGAAACAAAATTAAACGGTCATCATTAAAGGACGCCATTGAACCAACTCATTATTATGAAAACTGGTAAATATTTTAAAACTGGCCATAAAGTAATGCTCACATCATTATGACTAATGATTGTTAGCTACTAGTTATTGAAAGAGTATCTTATACGTTTATTTCTGAAATAAGCTTAAAAAGCTAGAGAGTGTCATCTCCTCCACACCTTTACTGATACTCCTAGTATTTCCCTCTATTGCAGCATTTTTTAAAAATTAGACTAGAATTATACGCGGTGTCTGACTCACTAATAAAACCGTAAAACTCCTCTGGGACAAAGAACGTGTCTTCGACTCCTAGTACAGCGCCTGGCACACAATAGGAACTGAACGATGGCTAGATGAACTGAACTACTAAACTATATTTACTCATTTTCTCATGTGTATAGTCAGAGACTATTCAACAGTTGACTATAACCTCAATTTCCAACCATATAGAAATTATCCTGACAATATGGGGGAGGAAGGGGCAACAGTCATAAAATGTAGACAGTGGTTTTACAGTTTATAAAGGTACTATGAATTACCTCACTTACCATTACAGGTACTTAAGCAGCTACTATTACTGCCATTTTACCACTGTTACCTCACTTAAGAAAAAAAAAGACTGGACTCAAAAGTCAGTGCATTCCAAATGCTTGACCACATACCTGAAAACTAACCATATCCCAAAATCCATCCAGATCTGTACAGGTAATCTCCTTTGCACCCCGTTTATGTTCACAATCATCCACTAGTCCTTCGAACTGTTTGAACCTTTCTTTCATAAGGAGTCTTGTTTGACCAACTGCTGTGAGAATAAGTTCTTTAGCTAAAGGAAATAAGAGGTTTTTACAAGTTAAAGGGCAAAACAGAAACTTTATTGCCAGCCAACCAGCTGCTAAGAAGACCTCACCCTGAATGTCCTATCAAATTCTTAACTTAAAGCAAAACAAAAATGTTACAAAATGTTGTCATACAAATACTGAGCATTAACTCTCTGCTTCAATTACTGCTAAAAATAAGCATTATTTATTGTCCTAAGTACTGTTACATAGCGAACAGCCTTGCACCCTTCCTTGTATTTTGTAAGAACCCAACCTCAGAAACCTCACTGCACATCAGTAGTTAAGGAAGGCTTCACAGTGACAGCACACAAGCGATTTTTTTCTAAACAGCTTCCCCAAATAAGGAAGACTAAGGAACTTTTCAGAAAATCTGTTCCACATTGGTATTGGTAATTTTCATTCAGAAAATACTTTTGTATAATTAAGCAATACCAGATACAGATGTCACTTATAAAGACACATGAAGAATATCTAATAGTAAAACAGACAAATGTCTAACTCTCAGGAATGACAGATAATATTCTAATTATATATACCTCTTTTAAGTAATGTATCAGTTTAGCAGAGATGTTAGTGAACATATATTGAAATGAAAAAATTCTCGCCATTTGGAAAAACAAAGTATGAAGTTGGAAAACACCAGATTTTTAAGTTTCAGTGTAGTGTAACCACATTAAGATAAAAAAAAGATAAAGCTAAAATGTAAAAAAATATATAAATGTTCCCTTACCATCATCTGGAATGTCCAAATTAAGCTTCCTGTCCCACTCCAGGCACTGAGAAGTTAATTTCTCAGTTTCTGACTGAAGAATATTTCTAAAATTATGACATACATTTCAGTTTTACAAATGTCTCTCACACTAATATCTAAGTATCAGCATTATGACAGTTATACAATATTATTTCCAAGAGTTGATGCTTATTTTATCAACTGTGACATAATAAACCCCCCAAATACAAGTGGATATCCTATATACATCCACCCTCGTATACCTAGTTATCAGGTCGTGCCTGTCCAAAGGCAGTGGCTCTCAGCTGGAGTCAATGCCCCTGGCCCCACACCTTTGGGGAAGTCTGGAGTTATTTTTTATTGTCTGGAACTAGAGAAGTCCTACTGGCCAAAGATACTACGAGCCTCGTATAATGCAGAGGACTGACTGCCCCCACCTCCACAAGAATTATCCCATCTAAACTGTCAACATTCAAAGTTGAGAAACCCTGGCCTAAGGGTAAATTTAATATTTCTTTATAAAAAGCATCCTAGCAGGAGAAACTGGGGATAATTTTTTGATCCTTAGAAGAAAAATTTAGCTATTTATATTTAGTGGCATAAGAGAGAACACCTTAATGAGAAAGGAGCCCTGGCTTAGATCTGACACTAGTTAGTTGACAGCGTCTGGAGGCACTGCTTGGTTTAAGTTAAGCAATACAATGGACTAGGTAGTCTCTAAAATCCCCCACAAATCTAAAACCTGATGCTCTAACAACAATTCAAATGGCTCTCAAATATATAAAAAGATACTCATTCATCATACAGCAAATGAATATTAACACTATAGCAAAATAATATTTCCTATTTGATTGGCAAAGCTCAAAAAATTTAATATTGCATTCAAAAAGGTATTAGAATTTTCCTGCTACATTTCCTCGGGAATAATAATATGTAAAACTTCCTATGTGATGTGGAGTGTTAGGGTCCTTCTCCAATTGTTTCCAAGGCATTTAGATGGCATGACTGAAGTTCCCCACACAGGATATTAATTTTTACACTTCAGTTACAGAAACATAATCCTATCTCATGAGTTAGAGGGCCAAACAGCCTCCTACCAACTCCGGTTATCAATCCTTTATAAAGTAAACATTAACTTCGATTCTTTGTGGGAGGCAAAAAAGTGAGAAAACAGGAACTGGCATACTTTCCTGGAGGGAAATGTCAGTTAAGATCTTTACATATCTGCATATGAAAAAACTGAAAAGCATACAGGCTGTTCTTTGAAGCCGTGATTGTAATAGTAACAGAGTGAACCGAATATAAATGACCATCTATAGGGACCGATCTATTAAGTAAATTGTGGTACATCCATATAATTGGATACTGTGTGGCCATTACAAACACACACACAAAAACAACAACATGAGGAAGTTCTTCAAGTGCTAAAATAGAATGTCTCCTACATGAAAAATAAATGAAAACAGAATAGTATGCTATTGCATATATAAACAAAGAAAAATATGCTTATGTTTGCCTGTATATGCCTTGTCTATCTCTGGAAATATTCAGAAGAAATGAATAACACTTGCTTCCCTGGAAGCTTCCAAGTATGGATGGGGTTGGGAGGCAGAGTTGAAAAAAAGACTTGTCATTTGTACCTTTTTCTACATTTTGAAATGACCCAAAGTCAGCTTCCTTGAAATTCATCTATTACATTAAAGTTAAAAATAGTTAATTTTGATTTAAATGTCTAGACATCAATACAAAATTCTCGCACTAGGAACAAATGAACAAACCTGAAATATGGCACATCATGCTGTGGCTGAGATATCTGACCTTCACTTATTTCAAGTGATGGGATTTCTTTCATTGGAAGGCCACTTGAATTTTTAATAGTAGTTTCATTTTTATTTAAGACATTTTCTGTAAAGAAAATATTACATATAAATTTCTTTTTTTAAGAACAGACCTTTGAGACATATACCACAAAAATGGTTATAAATACACAAAGAAATGGACAGATCCAAAATAATTAGGGGAACCATTACCACAACTTGAGAAACTGACATATAATAAAATATACAAAAAAGGAGGATTTGAATATACAACTGACAAGTTTAACCTAATAGATACATAAAAAATAAATTTCCTAACAGAACATAAAAGTTGTTTTCAAACACCCATGGGACATTTACAAAAAAGAGTATTAGGTCACAAAGAACTTCCACAGCCTATGACCATAGTACTAACTTGACCAAATATAATATACATTCACTCACTGTTGTTAACACACAGACACATACATTTCCATCAGGGGTCCAGAGCTAACGCTGTGTGGGATGGTGACACAGTAGATGCGTACATATAAATTTCAAAGTAGCAACTCCTAAAATGACAACCCCCACAACAATTTTTTTAATCCTTGAATTTTTTCAGTGTTGAATTTCAAAATTTTAATTCTGCTTTCATGATTTCATTCAACACACCTCTAAAGTGTCGCTCAACACTTTCATCTCTTCACATTTACAGCCATGCCTCCTCCTCTCGTCTTGCTCGTGCCACCTAGGTGCCCTTCTCCAGATCTTTCCACATGCTTTCTGATCTCTTCTGACCCTGAGATCACACCCTTGAACTACATGGGGAATGGAGCTCTAAAACAATTCACTAATAAATCATAATCCAGAAAAGCAAGTAAAAATTTAATTGAAATACCATACCTTTATTCCAAACTGTTAGAGAATCCTGAGGGTATTGTAATTTTGAATCTTGATGTACTGCCTTGGCAGAGTAAATTTCACATTTTTGTGCCAATGTTTCTTGTGTTGCATCTTGAATCTTGCCACTAAAAACAACAGCAAAAATAGACTTCATTAAACATGAACCCCATATCTCAGATTAAAGAATTTCAAAATTATGTTGCTTTTGAACAACATGGGATAAAACAGAAAATTAGTCTCCATTTTTTAAAAATGTGTCTTTTCTATAGGGAAAAATTTTAAACATCATAGTGGGAACATCCACCTTCACTAACTGTAATGAGATCTCAAGATTCTGAAGATCTCTTAATAAAACATAAACACTTAGTCTTGGAGCAGTTTCCAGTAAATTTGCTGCCAGCCAGTCTTTGCAAAACAACCTTGTTCCTTCTTTTAAAAGATTCTAACTGACTTTCTCCCACTCTCTGCAACTTTGCAAGTTAACCATTTTTGTCTTTAGAGATAGTTTTTCTAAAGTGATACTCAGCAAGCAAAAAAAACCAAAACAAAACAAACAAAAAAAACCACCCCAAAACTCAAACCACATCTTGCCTATATTATACCAATTTCTTCTTTCTAAAAATTTATTCCTAAGTATTATAATACTCACTTATTAAAACAAAAAAACCCCACATATTGTACCATAAAAATGGTAACAACAACACATAGGAAATATCAAAGCTATCAAATACATTATTATAGCTTTCTGAAAAAAATTTAGAAGACCAGATTTTCATGTTTTATAATTAACATCATTTACTAACTAAATAATAACTTTAAAAAGCACAGAACAGCCCTGGTGGGTGTAGCTCAGTGGCTGCGAACCAGAGGGTCACTGGTTTGACTCCTAGTCAGGGCACATGCCTGGGTTGTAGGCCAGATCCCCAGTGAGGGCCACATGAGAGGCAACCACACACTGATATTTCTCCCCCTCTCTAAAAATATATAAATAAAATCTTTAAAAATAAAAAATAATAAAAAGCACAGGACAAACCTAAGAAAGGCATTTGTTATCCACCTTAGCAAGGAATTAAATATTAATATTACATCCTTACACTTCTGCTTGTACAGGAGTCCAGGTGTAACGGGGTGTCAAGAAGGCCTCGGCACTTCGGGGAGTCATGGGTGTAACCTGATAGGTCTTCAGACCATCTAGTGGCTGAAATATAAAATCTTTAGGTGCGAAGGAATTCTTTCCTTTTGTTTTTGCAGTGTTTGTCTTAGGTAAGTTTTCCATTTTTGATAAAATTCCATCATTTGTTGCACTGCTTTGCGAATCCAAATTATTTTCTTCACTATCAACTTGAAAAGGAATGACCTAGATATGAATAAACAAAATAGAGTAAGAATTTCTCTTCTTGGGATATCCTGAAGCAATTTTTACAGGCCTGAGAACGTGCAAGCTGAGATATATGTGCCATGTACATAATTTACGAGACAAAAACAAATACATCTGAGTGTGTATGTGGAGTCAGAAGACCAGCTACACTGAACCGTTGCTGTGTTCCAGAAAGAGAACCAATCCTTATTAAAAGAACTAAATATGTAATTGGTTTTAAGTATTACAACAAATTAAAATATATGAAAACTAAGGTAGAAAAGTTGACTCATCTACCGATCACATATATTTTTACTTAAAGTATGATGATAATTATAACAGTTTGAAAATCATAATCCAAAATTTACTGGATGACTGCTATTGTCAAGGATCAAATCCTTCATCGCATGAGCAAAAATATTTTTAATGTAACACGGTAAGATTAACCATATAAAATATGAAATGTATTTTCTTTGTCAATTAAACTTGCTACCTGTTTATTTTACTAAGATATAATTGACATATAATAGTTTCAGGTATACAGCACAATTTGATATTTGTATATACAGCATCGTGATTCAATATTTGTATGTATAGCAAAATAATCACAAATAGTTACAATTTTTCAAATATTTTTTTAATTTAAATTTTACTTTTCATTTATTTTTAGAGAGAGGGGAAAGGAAAAAGAAAGGGAGAGAAACATCAATGTGTGGTTGTTTTGCATCCACTGGATATATGTTTTGCATCCATCTCTTGCATGCTCCCCACTGGGGACCTGGCCCACAACCCAGGCGTGTGCCCTGACTGGGCATCGAACCAGCGGCCCTTTGGTTCGCAGCCTGTACTCAATCCACTGAGCCACAACAGCCAGGGCTACACATTTTTTTCTTGTGATGAGAACTTTTAAGATTTATTCTTTGTAACTCTCAAATATACAATGCAATATAACTAACTATAGTCACTATGCAGTACATTGTCTCCCCAGGACTCACTTATTTTATGACTGGAAATTTGTACCTTTGACTACCTTTACCTATTAACATTCACCCACTGAAACATAATTTTTACAGGTTTCTATGTTTTGGATTTTTAATGAGATATTAACTGAAACTACAGTATTTTGACCTGGACAAGAGTTCAAGGGTAAAAACGTCCCTGAGGTGAGCGTGGGAATTAAAGTGAAAATGAGTGATATACAGATAGATGATATATCATAAAATGTCCACTTGACACCAATAGAGGGGTATGGTATGCTAAAGTAGGTATATGGTTGTTCATACGGAAACAAGATATGTAGGTTAAGATTACTGCAACAGCTTTATTAACTCAAAAGAATGTTATTCACAATTGTAAATCTACTTTTGCCCACCCCACAGGGTAAGGAAAAAGTAGGTTTACAGTTGTGAGTATGCAAAAAAAAATTTATTCTTGTATTACTTATTATTGTATTATTTTATATATGAACAACTGTTAACCTACTTTTGCCCCACCCTGTATAACTGTATTAACCAATGTCACCCTAATAAATTTAATTTGAAACAAACACACAAACAAAAAATGAATGATAATCCTTCAGAAGAAAATCAATCTCATGGGAGGAGCGCTGAAGTATAGCTGCTTGCCTGTGCAGATTCACTCTGTAGTGTCTTCCTGGAGGATCTGTTTGATTTTTAGTAAGAATATAGTCACTTTGGCTTACCTTTTTCTTTTTTTAAGGTTATAGAATTGTAGCATGGATTATAAATTATAAACCAAAGGATGGGTCTTCAAAATAGTGGCTCTTTTTTGGAGACTCTACTAGGCTCTATGCGAGATGCTACCAGAAACATGAGGTTATTTAATTCTTAATACTAGTCTATGTAGGTATTACATGTTACAGACAGAAAGACAAACTCATAACTTGCCCAAGGTTATATAACTAATTGGAAACAGAGATAATATTTAAACTTGGGCCTAATTAAATTCAAAGTCAGTGCATTTCACCCTACCCCATCAAACCTAATTCTCATGTGAACATTTCTATCAGCTGTGTTTTTTATTTTAATTTTTCCTATCTCCTGTTAACCAAATTGTGTTTTCTCTACCCATAAAGCTCTGAGGATAAGATACCTGAAAAACAACAATAAATCCTCTTATGCTTCTTTATGACTCAAGAGTTTTTCACACACATGTAGGTTGACCTCTTGAGTGGTTCTATATGCTTAATTTCGACTTTTTGAAAGCAGCAATAAGATTTCCAGAGAATCTAGAAATAAACAGATTTTATACACTACCTTGTCAGGTTTAGTTTCTATGCTTTGGGCAGATCTTCCTTCATTTGTTGCCTTCCTTTCTGTTTCATTATCTGAAAAATAAAACAAAATATGTCATCCATTTTGACTAGACAGAAAAATCCTACATTAAGAGCACTAAGGTAATTTGGGAAAGAAAAAAAAGGCAACAATAGGGACCTGTGTCTTTTCTTTTTTTTTAAGAGAGAGGGAAGGGAAGGGAGGGGAGGGGAGGGAAGGAGAGGGAGAGAGACACGCCCATGGGGGAAACAGGCGGTGGCCTCACCGGGAATCTCAGGGGCAACCTTTCAGTTCACGGGATGACACCCAACCGACTGAGCCACACTGGGGAGAAATGTATGTCTTAAGAAATTTTATGATAAAAGTCTTATTATAAAATAAGATAAAAACATTAAATTTCCTGCCAAGTGTAGGTCATCTAATTTCAAAAACAAAACAAAGGTCTTAAGATACTTTACCTTTTGCCTCTAAATAGCAAAATCTATATTATGGAAATTTGGAAAATAAAGAAAAACAAAAGACAAAAATAAAAAAACACCCACGATTACATTATTCAGGAATAACCACTGTTGACATTTCAGGGTGCATTTTCCCAGTTTTTTCTATGTTCACATATTTACATATATATTTTAGAACTGTGCTCATACTATTCAGGTTTTGACCTTTTTGCCTTTCCCCACTAAATATATCACGAACCACATTCTTAAGCAATTTTTTCACATTGTTCTTAAAAACTTTCACTGTTTTCCAAATGGATGGACTGCAATTTATTGGGGCTATTAATTTCTCGCTGTGAAGCGCTGCTTACACCACTTCAGGTACCCCAGTGTTTGAGCGCCCACTGTTAAATGGATGAGGGGGCACAGAACCTACCTTCCGGGAACTGGAATCTTCCATTTCCTCCTCTCCTACTCAAAGGAGTACTTAAAAATCTCAAGAACCAAAACATTCTAGTTCAATCATTGATCAAGAAATAGTTCTTACCATCAGTAGCTCTTGTCACTGGCTTTCTTGTTGTAGTGGATGAGATGGGCCTGGCTATCTGCTTTGCTGCTAGGGTAGCTGATCGAGTCACTCTCACTGATGCGGGCATTTCAGGTTGTTCAGCTGTGGGAAAAATAAATCAAATGCTTAAACATTATTATTCTTGTGGCAACATCAGGACTTATAACTGCTAATATTCCTACCTTTTTTCTCTTTGTCCAACAGTTTCTTTTCAGAAGTTTGTCTTTGACCGGGTCGCGATGCTCGAACATCATTCCCATTAGCAACCTATTGAGAAGATTAGGTGCTATGTGATTTAATTATATAGTAAATCAAACCACCACATCTCTAATCTGTACATTGATCCCTCTCCTGAAATTTGACTATTGGAAATAACCCAGCAAAAAAATCCACTATCCCAAATAAAATGAAGTAAAGAAAATAGTTTTCCATTATATTCATTTTCCTACAAGCTTTTTTAGAATCCTAGAATTTAGAAAATGCAAATAACCAAATCTATTAAAGAGAGTTGACTATAATCATTTGGGGGTCCTTAAATATACCAGGCATGTTTTTTTTTAAGGTTTTATTGATTTATTTTTAGAGAGAGGAGAAGGGAGAGAAACATTCATTGGTTGCTTCTCAAACACACCGCAACTGAGGACCAAACGTGCAACCCAGGCATGTGCCCTGACTGAGGATGGAACCAACCTTTCACTTTGTGGGTCGATGCACAAACTTACGGAGCCACACCAGTCAGGGCACCAGGCATGTTTTCACTTTGAGACTTTTAAATTTTGTCTAGAAAATTCTTCTCCTGGATAGAAAACTCTTTACCATAGTTCACCCTTCTACTTCTTTAAAGACTTCATGCAAAATGACACCATCTCACTGAGGCCCAGTCAAAATTCCACCTACTTTAGTACTCCCCATCTCCCTCCAGAATATTTATGACCATCTGACATAACATATATTTACTTTTTTTATTGCCTATCTCCCATAAACACAGGGAATTATTTTCTTCCCCATTATGTCCTAGAGCCTAGAGGAACATGGTTCCATCTTGATTCAAAATTTATTGTATACATGAAATTTAGCTTCCTTACCTGACAAAGAAGCACACGACTTCCCTCTTGCCCACTTTATTTCAGTAATCCTCCTAATAACTTTACCCTAGCAGTGTTTTGAAAACTCATAATTTACAACACCCACCCTACATGCTTTATATTCCTACCTGCATTTTCTATTATGGAATGCATAATAGAAGACCGTAAACTAACAAACAAAACAGCGTGACACAAAGACAAAGCTTGGACCTGCAACCCTGGTGTATCAGGACAATGCAGTGACCAACTGAACTAAACAGCCAGGGCAAGGCAAAGCTAGATCTCATACGGGATGTCCAGGCAGACTATTGTAAGTGCATAGTGCCTTAGCATTTAGTCAAAATTGCTCTATGCCACAGTGACTTTGGTACTATCAGCTCTAATAAAATAATCAATATACTTGAAGCTGATAGATTAAAAATAAAGTTATTTATTCTGAGAAAAGAAAGTACAATTTGTCATTTTAGTAACATTACCTATTATCAACTGTACCTTAGTCAGCTCCATTTGTTCCTTGGCCTTTGACCTTGTCATCCGTACAAAAGATGGAACAGCCTTAAGACAGTCAAAGAAGGCAATATTTTTTAAAAAATGAACTTGCAAAATTTACTTCCATATTTCATTATGAAATAAAATTCCAATTTTAAAGCTAAACTTTATTTGTAGTCATTCATGCAAAAAAGATACCTGTTAATTTAAATTACTATTTTTTTCTGGTTCTGGCTTAATTTAAGTCATCTTTAGGTTAATAGCTTCAAAACTTATATTTCTCAGTGAGAAGAGAGAATACATTTTAAACCATATTTCCCAGGTATTATTAGGAATCCTCATTAATGTACAGGTGATAGATGAACAGACTAGAATATTAGAATCTTTCTTTTATTTATGAAAAGATACTGTACAGCTTATTTTCCTAGCTTGGACAATTTGCCTTCAAATTTCATGACTATGAACTTGTCCACTGTCAATAAGTAAATGAAGACCTGATAGCAAAATGTGGAAAAAATATAGCAAAAGAACTGATCAAAAAGTGGTAAGATGTTTATTAACTCTGTAAAATGCCACAAGAAGCACATTCACACTTCTTTTCAGATGAGAAGACATTTTCTTTACCAAATCTCAGTGAAAACCTATGTTAATAAAATTACGCTTTTCTCTAAAGTGCACAATGTGAACAAAATTCAGCAATGACTAATGTCTAAGCAATGATTGGTGAGTCTTATAATTTAACACAATGATATATCCTTCTCCCCCTACATACTCGTATAACACTTTGTAAATAGCGGTTTACAGTCTAGGCCAATGATTGGCATCCTACATATTCTCGTGAAAGCAGATGAAGTCTAACCCCTTCTAAAAGTCTTCTTTGATGTTCCTCCAAACATAAATTAATCTCTCCCTCCTCTAACATATATGGAGCATTTATTTATCTATTATCTTTCCACCTTGAGTTATGTTTTATTAATTTTGGTCTCTTCCACATTATCCTAAGGTAATACACAGAGTAAATAAAGATCTATCAAATGAATTAGAAAGCATGAAGCAAAGAAAACTAGGCAATATCTTGGGCCTTTATGTTATTCAATTCCTATTTAAATCAGGAATGAGTATATAGTCGATAAGGCTTTTAAAAATTATTTAAAATGAGATCTTTTATACATACCTTTAAAATAGCAAATCACCAGTGACTACCTAATTCACAAAACTCCCTCTGTCCAGACTCCCTCCTTCTTGACTCACCGACCGACCATTCTCTTCTTTTAGATCACCACTTCCATCCTCTGCTTTATTTCCCCTGCCACTCTGACCAGTCCTTCTCAGCCTGTTACTGGTACCTGACTTCTGCCACCTGACAGTGCTCTCTAGATTTCACTCTTTCATACTTTTCTATATCCTTATTGGATTGGTCATATTCAGTCCCACAGCTTAAACACCTACCCATACTACTAATACCACATCCTAAATCCACCCCTTAGCATGGACTTCCATCCTGATTCCAAATTTTGTATCACTGTCTGTTATCTAGATGGCCCAAACTAGCTTAAAAATAGGGGTGTGGGGTGTGGCTGACCATGGCCAGCAGAGTCCGCCTGTTGTGGCTGATGACAAGAATGAATGCACAGGCGACAACAATCCTGTGGAGAAAAAGGGACCAGCATGACTACTCTCTCAAGGGGAGAGCGCCTATGGATGCCTCCGCCACTCCCTCAAGAGGGGAGTGTCTTGACCCTTGTCAAGACAGGCTTTTATTGTTTTCCTCGGGTCTTACATCAGAGAAAGATGTATTATCTATTAGATAGAATATTATTGTCTGCCTACATTTTAGGTACAATCAAGTAAATGGAAATAACATGCAGAGGGGAATGGTGATGAGCTGATTAGCTCTGTCTTTGGGCAAATTCACCCAAGCTTTGGATGTTACCTTGAAGATAGACAATACACATTTGTTGTTTTAGACCAGGGTGATGGAGTTTTAGCAAGAGCAAGCCATAATGGTCTGTATGCATTTTCTAGGCCTGATTCCCATCGGAAAACTCGGTTTGAAGGTCTGGCTCCTGCCCACCACTTCGCTTCTATAGGTTTTCCATACAGAGCTGAGTCACATTTGCCAAACTAAAATAAACCGGTCCCCTACAGTGGGGTATTAAAATGTACCCACTTAATCATGGTCCTTTTCTTGCCTTCCTCATTTTTAAGCAGCAGCATAATTTATATGGTTGTTCAAACTAATATAAACAGAATCATCTTATTCCGAGTGTTAAATTTTCTTTACCCCTCACTATCTACTTGGTCACCTGTCAAACTTATCTTCAAAGATGTCTTACACTTATTTCTTCCTTTTAAACACATTGCCCAGTCCACCTACTCTGTCTCACTTACTCTTTCACAATAGTCTTGTAACTAGTCTTCCCATCTATAAATGCTCCCCTTTCCAGACCATAATCTTCAGAGCCAGGGTAATCTTCCTACATTATTAATTTAATTGATGGTACAACCTCATTTAAAAGCTTCCCTTGACTCTCCATGTCCCATGGGATAAATGCCAAGTCCCTGGCATAGCATTCACTGCTCAGCCTGTCTCTACTTGCTTTTCTAGTTTTATCCTCTCTCAATCTACCTGGAGTTACATTGAGACCTGATTTTCATCTTCTACTATTGTCATTCCCACCTCCCACCAATTAGTTAAGAGAATAAAGGAACTAAAGGGAATGGGTAATTTTAGTCATTTCATCTCTTAAAAGAATTGCTTCTCAGCCTTTTGGCTAAAATCAAGCGTAATCTCTTAAAGGAAAAGGAACAGTTAAAAGGGACTATTCCTCTATATCTATTTAGGATACTAAATTTACCTTCATTGGCTCAGCTTTCATAGCATTTTGGTGGGAAAAAAGAAATGAAGGCTTCTCAGGTCTATAAAGACCCACTTTAAACACTCCTCGTTTAGCTTTCTCTCTTTGCTCTTTCAATTTTTGAAGTTGTTTTTCTTCTTTGTATTTCTGGAGCATTTGTTTCCGTTGATCACACTGAAGAGTTCTCAATGACTCTAAGCAAGAAAAACACAAAAACACAGTCCATAAAACATTGCAGATAAAGTTATGCAAAGGTCTAAAAAATCATTTTGCCTAACTTCAACCACTAAGAAGTTCTTTGAGAAACTTCTTGTTAATTCCTTAGCATCCTAACCACAAGTTATTTCAACCTGTTCTTTTTTTCTTTTTAAAAGATTTTATTTATTCATTTTCAGAGAGAGAGGGGAAGAAAGGGGAAAAAGAGAGGGAGGGAAACATCAGTGTGTGGTTACCTCTCATGTGCCCTCAACTAGGGACCTCAGCCAGGCATATGCCCTGACGGAGAATCGAACTGGTGATCCTTTGGTTCATAGGCCAGTGCTCAATCCACTGAGCCACACCAGCTCAGCCTCCATTCTTTTAAAATTTCTATTCCTGCCCTGGGCAAACTGCAAGGAAGAATTCCTTGCCCTTCTAAGAAATGTTTTCACTGGTAAAGTATCCTTATTTCATAGATTCTTCAATCAGTTCTATTTTTTATGTCCCTTATCAATTTATCTTGCCAACACTTATTTTACCCAAGCTCCAGAAGCAAGAACTTTAGAATTCCTATAAGGCAATATAGAAAATAGTGTTATAATATCCCAGAGGTGAATGGTTCTAGCCTGGCTAAAATAGCTTTAGACTAGTCTTTACCTTAAATACACAGTGGAAAACATCAAGTTATTCAAAACGGTATGACAAAACTCCATTCTGCTCAGGTTTGTTTTTTTAATTGATCTTGAGAGAGAGAATAACAGATATCTATTTGTTGTTCTACTTATTCACGCATTTATTGGTTGAGTCTTGTATGTGCCCTGAAGATTGAACCCAAAGCCTTGCCATACTGGGACGATGCTCCAACCAACCGAGCTACCCAGCCACGGCCTGGTGAGGATTTTTTTATGTCAGTTATTAAATCAACTTTACTCTTCAAAGCACTTAAAATTACAATAAACTTTTACTTACTTGGCTTGACACTGGCCTTTTCTGGAACAAGCTCTTGAAATGTCTCATCTAATTCAAGAAGTAGTCTACCATCTGAGGTTGGAATGTTGACATCTTTCAAACCAAAATGTCTATTTCGTTCATATTCCTTATGTCTGTGTTCTTTCTGAGACAGTGATTTCCTATGAGCAATTTTAGTTCTAATCATATCAGTACTCATATCCTTTCTGTGTCGACTGGCAAAACGTGATGAAGACATCCTGTCGGGGAAAAGAGAGACAGACAAACTTACAGGGATTTTCATCTTATTCATTTTTTTAAAAGATTTTATTTATTTTTAGAAAGAAGGGAAGGGAGGGAGAAAGAAAAGGAAAGAAACAGCAATGTGTGGTTGCTTATCATGTGTTCCCTTCTGGGGACCTGGCCTGCAATGCAGGCATGTGCCCTGACTGAAAATCCAACCACCGACCCTTTGCTTCACAGGCCCACACTCAATCCACTGAGTTATACCAGCCAGGCTGGATTTTCATTTTATTACTTAAAAAATTAAGATTCTAAGATGGAGGCGTAGGTAGACATGTTTTGCCTCCTTATGCACTCATAGAAAGAATTACAACCAGATCTCAAAACTAATAACACCCAGAAGCATCAGAAAATTGAGCTGTATGGAAGTCCGACAACCAAGGATTTCAAAAAGCCACATTCATCCAGATGTGTAGTACAGGTGAAGCAGCAGAGATAGGAGGAGAGGCAGTGTGGGATGAGTAGCAGAGATACCTCTGGAGGCAGCCAGAGATCCAGCCCCAGGCCAGACTGCAGAGCCCAGGGTTCCAGCACTAGGATGATAGATCCCCATTACCTTTGGCTGTAAAAACCAGTGCAGGGTGGAGCAGCAGAAAAAAACTGCTGCATTTTTGCTACTTAAAGGGCCAGCACAGTCTTAGAATGTACACAAACCCATCCATTCCAGGATTTACTACCCAGGCAGCAGCTGGAAGGGTACCAGTTGCACATGGGAAGGGGGTGAAGTGACTGGAAATGGGCTAGTGACAGATGAACCATGAGAAGCCAGGTGGTGGCACTGTTTCCTCTCTAAGCCCTCCCCACACCAGCACAAAGGGGTAAAGCAGGTGCCCAGCCCTGGCAATTACCTGAGGTTCTGCACCAAATAATTTACAGGTGCCTTTTCTACAACAGGCCATGCTACTAAGACAGAGAGTCAAAGCAGCTCTACCTTTGAGAAACAAACTCAGGGAAGCTGCCAAATTGAGGAGACAAAAAAATACAGCCCAAATAAAAGAACAAAACGAAAAGTCCAGAAAAAAGAACTAAGTAAAGCAGAGATAGTCAACCTATCAGATGCAGAGTTCAAAACCCTGGTTATCAGGATGCTCAGAGAACTCCTTGAGCACAGCAAAAATGAAGGAAGGAAGGAAGGAAGGAAGGAAGGAAGGAAGGAAGGAAGGAAGGAAGGAAGGAAGGAAGGAAGGAACAAATGAAGGTTACACTAAGTGAAGTAAAGAATAATCCAGAGGAAACAAACAGAGAAGGGAAGGAAGTTGGGATTCAAACTAATGATATGGATCATAAGGAAGAGATAAAGATTCAACCAAAAAAGAATGAAGGAACAGGAATTCAAAAAATGAGGAGAGGCGTAGGAACCTCTGGGAACAACTTTAAACATTCCAACATCCAAATCATGGGTGTGCCAGGAGAAGAGGAAGAGCAAAGAAAATAGACTTCCAGGAAGTCCAGGAAGCTCAGAGAGTCCCAAAGAAGTTGGACCCAAGGAAGCACACACCAAGGCACATCATGATTACATACATCACCCAAGATTAAAGATAAGGAGAGAATCTTAAAAGCAGTAAGAGAAAAGGAGACCGTTACCTACAAAGGAATTCCCATAAGGCTACCAGCTGATTTCTCAATAGAACCTTATAGGCAAGAAGGGTCTGGAAAGAAGTATTCAAAGTCATGCAAGGCAAGGACCTACATCCAAGATTATTCTATCCAGCAAAGCTATTATTTAGAACAGAAGGGCAGTCCTGGCTGGTGTGGCTCAGTGGATTGAGTACAGGCCTTGAACCAAAGCGTCGCCAGTTTTATTCCTAGTCAGGACATATGTCTGGGTTTCGGGCCAGGTCCCCAGTGGTGGCACACAAGAGGCAACCACAGATTGATATTTCTCTCCCTCTCTTTCTCCCCCCTCTCTAAAAAATAAATAAAATCTTAAAAAAAAAATGGAAGGGCAGAGAAAGTGCTTCCCAGATAAGGTCAAGTTAAAGGAGTTCATCATCACCAAGCCCTTATCATATGAAATGTTAAAGGGACTTAGAAACAACATGACAAAAAATATGAACAATAAAATGACAACAAACTCACAACTATCAACAACTGAACCTAAAAAACAAAAACAAACTAAGCAGAAAACTAGAACAGGAACAGAATCACAGCAATGGAGATCACATGGAGGGTTATCAGCAGGGAGGGGGTGGAGGAAGAATGGAGGAAAAAGTACAGGGAAGAAGAAGCATAAATGGTAGGTACAAAATAGACAGGGGGAGGTTAAGAACAGTATAGGAAATGGAGAAGCCAAAGGGTCACACATTTTATTATACGCAACCCATGGACATGAACTAAGGAGGGGGGATGCTCATGGGAGGGGGTGTGCAGGGCGGAGGGGAATAAAGGGGAGAAAAATATGGGACAACAACTGTAATAGCATAACCAATAAAATATACTTAAAAATAAAATAATTTTTAAAATAATAAAAATAAAATTTTAAAAAGGCAACAAATTCACAACTATCAACAATTGAATCTAACAAAATAAACACAAACACACACACACACACACATACACACAAATACACACAAAACTAAGCAAACCACCAGAACAGGAACAAAATCATACAAATGGAGATCACATGAAGGGATAGCAGCAGGGAGGGGGAAGGAGGAGAATATGGAAATGTTGTAGGGATTACGAAGCATAAATGGTCGGTACAAAGTAGACAGGGGGATGTTAAGAATAGTATAGGAAATGGAGAAGTCAAAGAACTTACCTGCATGACCCATGGACATGAACTAAGTTCATGGGGTACTGCAGGAGGGAAGGCAGGTACTGGGTAGAGGGGGGCAAAGGGGGAAAATTGGGACAACTGTAATAGCATAATCAATAAAATATATTAAAAAACAAAACAAAACAAAAGTTAAGATTGCAGTTCACCTCCCATCCCAACCTCAGAGCCTTCTGAAATAAAAGTATTGAAATACACATGGGATAAACATGTGACACTGAAGAGTGGGAAGGAGGTTATTAAAAGATAAGACCCTACAACTTATTCTGGGGTCCTACATAGGACCGTGCTTGACAGATAAAGTGAAGCTCAGGAAGCTACTGTCCATAATAAGCAGAATAGTTTCTTAACCTTCCCCTGATGATGAATGCAGGCAGCCTAACATTTTTGTTCTCAAGCTAAAAACAAAATAAAACAAACAAAAACCATACAAGATGCTATTAGACAAGGATGATAAACAGGCATTGAAAATACCCGATTAAGAAAAAGAAGCGTTTTCAGAAGAATTACCATGGTGATGTAAAAGAATAAATAAATGAGTATGCCCTTGGTAGGGCAGAATAAAATTATTTTCAGCCATGTAAGAAATTATATAGTTTACTTGTCACATACCATTTTCATGGAAAGATCCTTGAGAAAATATATTCAAGCAACACCAACACAAGGGAGGAGAAGAACGAGGATGTCATAGGTTCCAAGAAACCACGGATCAAAATGATGGAAGAATAAAGGAAAGTGGGAAGTCTAAGGTGGTTACCTATGCATCTGGTATAAAGAACAACCAAGCCAAACTGAAGGAAAAAAACTGGTTTTCCAGAGAAAATTCTTGCTAGCTTAAAAGGAAAAAGAGGGAAAGGGAGGAAAGAGGGCGTGTCATTGGGGAGTTTAAGTTATAAGCACGCAATATTCCTCAACAAGAATAACTAAGCAAGTTCATTTAAAAACTTCAGATATGGGAATTCCGCCAAGATGGAGGCGTAGGTGGAAGCACTGACCCTACTTGCACAACTAAGTTTAAAAACAACAAAGTTTTAGCAACAAAAACGCAGCCAAACCACAGAAAATTGAACTACACGGAAGTCTGACAACAACAAACCCTTCAGCCAAACCGGTAAGAGGGGCAGAGCCAGCAGCAGAGTGGGGTTGGGCAGGAAAGATCCACCTGACGGACCTGGGCCCTCGACCCAGGCATGCCGGCTGCTGTGGGCGGATCCCAGGTGTGGAGAAGCGGGTGGACCCACTGAGGACTGATCTCAGTCACACATTTGCAAGCAGATAAACCAGTGAAGGACCTATCAGTGAGACGGACCTCGCAGGCCCCAGTGGCAGGAAGCAGCAGAGGGAACTGCCATTGTCCCTCTCTGACCCTGTCCCCCCATACAGTGTCACAAACCAGTGATCTGGGTGGCCCCACCCTGCTGAACAACTAAGGCTCTGCTCCTCATACCTAACAGGCACGAACAGATCAAGACATGGCTCAAGAACAACTCAGAGCCCCAGAGCCAATAAATCTAAGCAATGAAGAAATAGCCAAACTTTCAGATGCACAGTTCAAAACACTGGTGATCAGGATGCTCACAGAACTGGTTGATTTTAGTCACAAATTAGAGGAACATATGAAGGCTAAACTAATTGAAATGAATGGTAATGCACAGGAAACCAATAGTAATGGAAAGGAAACTGGGACTTAAATCAAGGGAGTGGACCAGAAGGAAGGAAAAAATGACCAAACAGAAAAGGATGAAGAAACAAGAATTCAAAAAAATGAGGAGAGGCTTAGGAACCTCCAGGACATCTTTAAACGTTCCAACATCCAAATTATAGGGGTACCAGAAGGGGAAGAGGAACAGCCACGAGCGGAAACCTTATTTGAACAAATAATAAAGGAGAACTTCCCCAATCTGGCAAAGGAAATAGACTTCCAGGAAACCCAGGAAGCTCAGAGAGTCCCAAAGAAGTTGGACCCAAGAGGAACACACCAAGGCACATCATCATTCCATTAGCCAAGATTAAAATGAAGGGTAGAATCCTAGAAGCAGCAAGAGATAAGGGGACAGTCACCTACAAAGGAGTTCCCATCAGACTGTCAGCAGATTTCTCAAAAGAGACGTTACCGGCAAGAAGGGGCTGGAAAGAAGTATTCCAAGTCATGAAATCCAAAGACCTACATCCAAGATTGCTCTATCCAGCAAAGCTTTCATTTAGAATGGAAAGGCAGATAAAGTGCTTCTCAGATAAGATCAAATTCAAGAAGTTCATCATCACCAAGCTCTTATTATATGAAATGTTAAAGGGACTTAGCTAAGAAAAAGAAAATAAAAAAGATGAACAGTGAAAGGACAGCAACTCATAGTTATTAACAACCACACCTAAAACAAAAGCACACTAAGAGGACAGCTAGATCAGGAGTGAACCATAGAAATGAAGATCACGTGGAGGGTTAGCAACAGGGGTGTGGGAGGAGGAGAAGGGGGAAGAAGGTACAGAAAATAAGTAGCATAGATGGTAGGTAGAAAATAGGGTGGAGGGCAAGAATAGTATGGGATATATAGAATCTAAAGAACTTGAGACACATGGTCATAAACTAAAGGGGGAGGAATGGGGGGAGGGGGTGTGCAGGGTGGAGGGGAATGAACGGGGGAATAGAACTGTAATGGCATAATTAATAAAATATATTTAAAAAAATAAAATAAAATAAAACTTCAGATAGGAAAATCTGCGCAAGAATACAACAAATTAAAATATTACATGATTTTTAAGCATCCACTGAATATAAAAATGAGAATTCATCTGACCTGGATGCTAATAACATTCTCCTTTAAGGGCCCAGGGGAAGCGACGAAGAACTGTGCTTTTCATCAAGACCTCTCCCCTATTTGATTTGCCACCTTCTACAAGTATTAATTTGTAGTACAAATTAATTTAGTACAGAAAAAACAAAACTTATGTATTATTTTGAAAAACAGCATACCAGCAGAGACAGAGAGAGAATACTAAAGGAATATTTAATTATCTAAACCTTAAAGAGTAGTTACTTAACGACCATTATACAAATGAGGTAAATTAACCGCCCACGTGAGCGGAGAGAAAAAGTGGCGCAGCTGACATCCCAAGCCAGGCGGCCTGGCTCTTCACATACACCTAAGTTCTCTTCTCTGGCAGACGGGAGTTGCTCCCAGCTGGAAAGTCTAGAATGTTTTCTTCTTGCTTGCCCACGGGGTTCTCAACCCGGACGTTTACCGACGTCACAGGACTGGGGAGGAGCTACTGAATATTAATGTCCCGGCCAAGGATGCTAAGTATCGACAAACTCCAGAGGCCAATTACGCCCGGGTGGTGACACGCTGACTGCTACAATTGCTCAAGTCAACACGTATTTACTCTTCCAGAGAATTGTGTCCGCAGTTTCAGAAAGGACGGGTAACATGTCCTGGCGGAGCCTCCCCCGGGAAGCATCCAACTCTCAGCTGGGGGTCCTCAGATCCTTCTAGGCCAACACCCTCCCGCCAACTCCCCAACACCCACCTACCTGAGGCCGCTTCTGGCGTGAAACCTCAACCACACGAAAAGCGAAGGAACTCTCTCGGCCTGGAAGCCCACTGCTGCCTCTAGAACGGGACCGCCCACAAGCGGAGCCTGAACTAAATTCAAACTTCCCACACCGAACCTCTGATTGGAGAGATTTTAACCTACACTTCCGGGGAAACGTGCCCGCCTCTTCCTTTCGATAAGGCTTGCGATTGGTCTTCTTCTTGCACTATTTGAATTGATTGAAAGGGGAACGGACGGCTCTGACGGGCGTGGGAGTTCTACGCTGCCGCGGAAGCTGTGACCAGCCCCGGTCTCGAAGTTGATGAGGGGCGGAGCGAGGGGGTTCCAGCCCGGGGCGGGAACCGCGGGAAGGTGAGGTCCCTTAGAGCTCGAATCCGCCAGGGAGCTCCCTGGGCTTGGCGAGTACCCGAGGAAGGAGGGGGAAACACACAGAGAAGGAGCTCAAAGTTTTCCGGGCTTTTTAATGTCCTTATTTAGTTACATAAATCCAGCAGAGCTTCTTGGAATGTTTCTTCCTTTAACGTTTCTTAAAAAAACTGCTTTGCCCTGGCTGGCGTGGCTCAGTGAATTGAGTGCCAGCTTGCGAACCAAAAAGTCACTAGTTCGATTCCTAGTCTGGGCACATGCCTGGGTTGTGGGCCAGGTATGAGAGGCAACGGGCAACCTATTGATGCTTCCCTCTCTTTCTCCCTCCCTTCTCTCTCTAAAAGTAAATAAAATCTCAAAAAAAAAAGTCTTCCCACACCAAATTTCTCCTTACATCCGTTAGTGTTACTTTTCAACACCCGCAGCCTTTTTTGTCCTTTGTTTTTCTAGCGAGGTAAAATTTAAATACAGTGAAAAGCATAGTTTTTTCATGTATGATTTGATTAGTTTTGCTGAGAGTAAACAGCCATGTAACTACCACCAAATCATGAGACAGAGCATTTCCACCACCCAAGAGTTTCCTTAAACCCCTTTCCAGTCTCCCTTAGGCAACCATTCGTCTGATTTCTATTACTTCAGAATTAAAGGTGGGAGGTACTCATTAGTGTCTGCCTTCTTTTGCTTAGCCTATTGCTTTCAAGACCCATGACTACTGTTGTGTGAATCAGAAGTCACTTGTTTTTACTGATGAAAAGTATTGTATTGAATACTTTATCCATTAACCTGCTGATGGACATTTGGATTGTTCCAGATTTTCACTGTTATGAATAAGTTGCTATAGTTTTTTGTTTTAAAAGAATAGAATATAGAGCTATCTATATGGCCCAGTTGTGTTTAGTGATGAAGCTTATTTAATTTTTAAAAAAATTTTACAGATTTTCAGAGAGAAACATTGATTTGTTATTCCACTTATTTATGCATTCATTGGTTGATGCTATCAAACCTGCAACCTCGGTGTATCAGGACATATGCTAACCCGCTGAACTACCCACCTAAGCCACCCGGCCAGAGCACTTATGTAAATATTCTTACACAAGTGTTTTTTTGTGGGCATATTTTATTTCTCTTGGGGAAATATAGGTGTGGAATTTCTGGGTCATTTTGTGTATACTTAACTTTATGGGAAATTGCCAAGCAGTTTTCCAAAGTGGTTGTAACACGTTACACTCCCACTAGCCGTGTGCAAGAGTTCCAGGGTTCCACATGCCTGCCAACATTTGGAGTTATCACTCTTTAATTTTAAGCCCTCTACTAGGTGTGAAAGGGTACCTGGTTTTAATATTGCAGTTCCCCAATGGCCAGTGATGGTGAGCAACTTCTCATGTGCTCATCAAGTATTTTAGTATCTTGTTTTGTGAAATGTCTGTTCAAATCTTTTGCCTCTGCTTAGAAAAGTTGTTTGTTTTCAGTTTCGGTTGTGTTTGCAGCATTCATTTGTAGGAGTTTTATCTGTTCTGGGCACAAGTCCTTTGCCAGGTATATTTTGAATATATTTTCTCAGTTTGTGAGTTCTTTTATTTAAAAAAATAAGCTTTTAATTTTAGAGTAGTTTAAAGTTCATGGAAAAATTGCAAAGATAGAGTAAGTTTTCATATGCTCCACATCCATTTCCCCCCTTTTATATTATTATGGCACATTTGTTACAATTAATGAAATGATATTGACACATTATTATTAATTAAAGTCAATACTTTATTGAGATTTCTTTACTTTTTGTCCATTGATGTTTTTCTGTTCCAAGATACCACATCACTCTGTGACAGTTTCTCAGACTTTTCCTTGTTTCTGGTAAACTTGACGGTTTTGAGGAGTACTGGTCAAGTATTTGATAGAATGCCCCTCAATTGGAATTTGTCTGATGCTTTTGCCATGATTAGACTGGGGTTATGGGTTTGGGGGAGGAAGACCATAGAGATGAAGTACCATTCTCATCATATCACATCAAGTGTACATAATATTGATATTACTTATTGCTGTTAATTGTTAACCTTGACCACTTGTTTGAGGTAGTGTCTGGAAATTACAATTTTCCCTTTTTTCATGCTGTATCTTTGGGAGAAAGTAACTATGGGCAGCCCACACTTAAGGAGTGGGCAGTTATGTTTCACCTAGTTGAGAACAAACTCTGAACACAAACTATTTGGAATTATTCTTCATGAGGGATTTGTCTCTTCCCATTTACCCCCCTATTTATTTATTGAACCATTTATATCAGGACTGTTAGGCTACCCACTAATACTACTTAATTTTGTTGCCATTGGCAGCTCTTTCACTTTGTTCCTCTGCCACTTTTACATGTCCCCATCATTGTGGGGGTTTTGTATATTTGTTTTAGTGTAAACTTCCTTACTTTCTGGCTCTAGAAGATGCTCCATGCTCATCTGGTATTTTCCCTGTTCCACTCCTAAAATCAGCCATTTCCTTTTTCTATTATTGATTTTTTTGAGAGAGAGCAATAAAAACGTTGATTTACTGTTCCACTTATTTATGCATCCGTTGGTTGATTCTTGTATGTGCCCTGCACAGGATGAAACCTGCAACCTTGGCGTGTAGGGATGACGCTCCAACCAACTGAGTTTCCCGGTCAGGGCTAAAATCAGCAATTGTCCAAGAAGCCCTTGTGCCTTTTATTGAAGAATGATATTAGAAAGTAAGATTTGAACACTAAGTGCGCTCTGTGCTACTGGGAAGTCTCCCAGTTGACAGAGTGAAGAAATATAGCTGTCTACACTAACATACAGATATATATCTATAAACATTTCTGTGGTAACCATCTGTATCTATATTAAGCTAATCAGGAGTTCATGCTGATGTCTCTAACTCTAATCCATTACCACACGGGTCATTCTAGCCTCTTCCTCTTGCTTATCTGTAACCTTCCACTCCAACAGTGGAAAACTTGACTCTGTTAGTTGCCTTTTCATTTCCTTCTTAGCATCATTGGTGAATAGAGGATTTTAAGTTTGATGAACTCTACTTTATCAGTTTTGAATATTATCTTTAGTGCTCCTCTTTAAAAAATATTTGCCTACCACAAGGTCATGAAGTTATTCACTTACGTTTCCTCCTAGAAACTTGGTAGTTTTAGTTCTCTTGCTTAGGTCTGTAATCCATCTTGAATTAATTTGTGTGTGGTATTTCCAGTCTTTTTTTTTTTATTTTTGATTTTTTTTACACATTGTCCAACGCCACATATAAATGAAAACTGTATGACTGTTAGTGAGTTTCCTCTGCAAACCCTCAGGTAATTTTCTGAGTTACTAAAATTGTAGTACCTTACTGCATAAGAAATGTAAAAGCGTAACATATGGCAAGGACATTGCATTGAATATGCAAACAATTTAGCAACAAGAGTGAGACTGGCAGTTTTGGTGAGAACAATTTCAACAGAATGATGGTGGCAGAAACCATACTGTGATGAATTAAAGTGTCATTCGGAGTTACTGAAACAGGCGGAGTGTAAGTGAGGCACCAGAGTTTTTAGTGATGAGAAGGACTTTGAAGATTAATGATCTGTATGAGATCCCACAGCTAATTAAGTTGCAGAGGCTGGACTCAAACTTAGGTATTTTCATCTTCTTAGCTGGAAATATGGCTTGTTTCAACACTTACTTGAGAATAGAAAGAAGTAGTGTAGGCTTTGCAGTCAGAGATGTGGTTTAAAATGGCCACTTTTCATGGGGCAAGTTTTCTGCACTTCTCTGAGTATCTGTTTCCTTATCTACCTCTTAGGAATGTTGGGAGGATAAATGAAAATAATTAGTTCCAGTTCTGCTTCCTACCAAGATGCTGACAAAGTAAAATTACTGGCTCCCTCCCACAAGATCAAATTCGGAGGAGCTACAGAGGGAGAAAACACCAAGTTTTTGTAACATTCAGGAATGTGAGCAGTCTTTTGTTGGTTTTACCCTGCAGTTGTTAACTGATTAACCTCTCTTGTCTCTTCCTTCCACGATTAGACCTACTGTAATTTAATATAGGACGGCTCAGAATTTGTTTCTTGTCACTTTTTACTGTGGTTACTAGCAAAATTTAAATTTCTCGTATGGGCATGCACTATCTCTCCCAGGAGTATGCCCACACCTTTCTTCCCTCTCTGGCAAGCATCTCCTAAACTCTAAAGGTCCCCTGAACTCGAAATAACTCTAGAGGTCTCCTAAACTCTAACTTCCTGAAGCTGTCTCCAAGAGCCCCCCCTTTCTCTTACTCTTCAGTGAGCCAAAGCAGCCTAGACCCTCTCCTATTGCTTCTGCTTTCCTAAGCCCTTCCTTGTTTCACTGTCCCCAGCTTTAATAAATATACTCTATAAACAAACAAACAAACAAACAAACAATAACCCTGGCTGGTGTTGCTCAGTGGATTGAGTGCCAGCCCGCAAATCAAAGGGTCTTGGGTTCGATTCCCAGTCAGGGCACATGCCTGGGTTGCAGGCCAGGTCCCCAGTAGGGGGAACATGGGGGCAACCACACAATGATGTTTCTCTTCCTTTCTCCTCTCTAAAAATAAATAAAATCTTTCAAAAAACACAAATAATAAATTGCATGTGTGGTCCACATTACATTTCTATTGGAAAATGCTGGCATGGTTTATAAGAAATTTTGTTGTTTGAAATGTCAGTGAGAAGGGAACATCTCACTCCTGCTCAAAAATTCTGAGCACAGGGAGGCAGCCTC